AAATTAGGGAATTTTAGCCTCCCATCCTTCATTACAATGAAGGTACAAATTAGGGAATTGGGCCTCCCTATCCCTCATCCTTCGTCTCACTGAAGTTACAAATTAGGGAATTTTAGCCTCCCATCCTTCATTACAATGAAGGTACAAATTAGGGAACTTAAGCCACCCCATCCCCCATCCTTCGTCTCACTGAAGTTACAAATTAGGGAATTTTAGCCTCCCATCCTTCATTACAATGAAGTTACAAATTAGGGAATTTTAGCCTCCCAATCTCCCATCCTTCGTCTCACTGAAGATACAAATTAGGGAATTTTAGCCTCCCATCCTTCATTACAATGAAGGTACAAATTAGGGAATTGGGCCTCCCTATCCCTCATCCTTCGTCTCACTGAAGTTACAAATTAGGGAATTTTAGCCTCCCATCCTTCATTACAATGAAGGTACAAATTAGGGAACTTAAGCCACCCCATCCCCCATCCTTCGTCTCACTGAAGTTACAAATTAGGGAATTTTAGCCTCCCATCCTTCATTACAATGAAGTTACAAATTAGGGAATTGGGCCTCCCCATCTCCCATCCTTCGTCTCACTGAAGATACAAATTAGGGAATTTTAGCCTCCCATCCTTCATTACAATGAAGGTACAAATTAGGGAACTTAAGCCACCCCATCCCCCATCCTTCGTCTCACTGAAGTTACAAATTAGGGAATTTTAGCCTCCCATCCTTCATTACAATGAAGGTACAAATTAGGGAATTGGGCCTCCCCATCTCCCATCCTTCGTCTCACTGAAGTTACAAATTAGGGAATTTTAGCCTCCCATCCTTCGTCTCACTGAAGTTACAAATTAGGGAATTTTAGCCTCCCATCCTTCATTACAATGAAGTTACAAATTAGGGAATTTTAGCCTCCCCATCTCCCATCCTTCGTCTCACTGAAGTTACAAATTAGGGAATTTTAGCCTCCCCATCCTTCACCCCACTGAAGTTACAAATTAGGGAATTGACCCTTTTCATCACAAATTAGGGACTTGTGCTCCCCAACCCCATACCCTTCACTCTACTGAAGTAGGGAATTTAGCCTATATATCGCTGACCACGTATTGTCGAAGACATATGCTCGAGAGCATATTGTTACAAAAATAGTAGATTATACTTTCTTCTTCGTAGATTATTATATCGTATACGTAGATGAAAGTATGTTCTATGAAGATATTATCTACACTGATGAAAGTATCATCTACGTACATGTTATTTTGTTTTAGACTGTGGCACTTATACGCTTCCATACCGGACCTTTACACAAAAACAATTGATACATTTTGTGTCACCGGTGGTGCAGGATGCGCTCACTTTGGCGCGAACAACTAGTATCATGACTATTTGATAGTGATTCATAAACACATGCTCATGGTATAGACGGAATCGTACAATCGAGTCTGCGAAAATGCATACGGAAAGGATTTTGTGGCTTTTATTTATTAAAATATATTTGAAAGCAGAAGACTGAAGATTTGTCTGAAGTGCCCGTACTACAGAGTGACACAAACTAGTTGGTTGGTTTGTTGTTTAACGCCACACTCAGCAATATTCCAGCTATATGACGGCGGTCTGTAAATAATCGAGTCTGGACCAGACAATCCAGTGATCAATATAATGAGCATCGATCCACGCAATTGGGATCGATGACATGCATCAACCAAGTCAGCGAGCCTGACCACCCGATCCCGTTAGTCGCCTTTTACGACAAGCATAGTCACCCTTTACGGCAAGCATGGGTTGCTGAAGACCTATTCTACCCCGGAATCTTCACGGGGGACAAGCATGGGTTGCTGAAGACCTATTCTACCCCGGATCTTCACGGCAAGCATGGGTTGCTGAAGACCTATTCTACCCCGGAATCTTCACGGGGGACAAGCATGGGTTGCTGAAGACCTATTCTACCCCGGATCTTCACGGCAAGCATGGGTTGCTGAAGACCTATTCTACCCCGGAATCTTCACGGGGGACAAGCATGGGTTGCTGACGACCTATTCTACCCGGAATCTTCACGGGCCGACACAAACTAGTGATACGAATGTCATTATGGTAACTAGGCGGCATCAAACAATATATTCCAAAGGGATTAAATTTTTGACAATAAACTAAATAGTGTTCCAGTGTAGGACTCACTGAATTTCAAGTTACGGATTGTGAACCTATGTACGCGTTGAAGGACATTCCGGGTAGAAAACAATAGACTTGAAACGACGCCATTTCTTGTGTCCCCCGCTAGGTTTTTGACACGAAGTTCACCCCCCAGAGAGCCTGTGAAGCGACTTGTGTATCTCTGCTCTTCACCCCGCCTGGAATGTACCCTCTCCGTATACAACATCAAAAGTTAGAGCTGAGTTTCTCTATTGATAAATCTCTTGGTAGATAAACTGCTCTCACACGTTAGGAATATTATTGCTTGGGTGTTCCACAAATAGATATAATTGACACAGAGAGCAGTTGGGTGAGCAGTGTTTACATGTAATGTGTTGGGTTTACTTGAACCAACGGACATCCGTCTCACGACCATGGTGGGAATAACACAACTGGACCCTTGGAGATTCACCCAGCTGGAACCTTTTTTATCATCCACCACTGGCTTCCATAAGAGATATCGCTTGAGTGAGATGTCTCTAGGAGATATTGATAAAATTGCAGCACAATGCTTCCCAGACAATTGTAACGTCATCGTTACATGGCGTCACAATCAAAAGACATCACTAGTTCCCTGCCACTGAATCAGGCTTGCTGTATTTTTGACACTCAAGACACTGGTAGTTATTGTTCGTAAACTGAAGAAGTTGGAAGAATCATTTTGGGTGATAAAAGGAATCTCACCCTCGTGTCTTGTTGTCAATGACATTGTATATCAACACTCTTTTAATACTGTGCCCTGTGAGTTTCAGTTATCTAGAACCTCGGCAAACCTCGGAGTTTGAAACTTATATCGCCTCTCATGTAGATATGCTTGATATCAAGACACACGGGCGAGATTGTTTCTCTACAAAATATAATATTGTCCACGAAGTGCAGTAGTCGGCATGAGTAAGTGAGTTTTCATACTCTTTGGGGGTCAGTCTTTTATTGAATGCATATTCAAATCCCCAATGGCTGGTTTATTGGCTCTTTGAATTGATTTTATATCATTTATACAGCTTTTAGTTTAAGAAACCTCATATTCTTGAATACAAAATTTTCTTAAACTGTAATTCACGTCAGCTGTCCTATCATGTGAATTGTAGCTTGTTGTAAGAGGGACTATTTAAACTACACAATACATTTTGTGTTTTACTTACAACTTTACGAAGCATTATCTTATCATAAAAACAATTGAAATCTGTTTGGGCACATAAAACATTCATTGAAGCACAACTCTATGAGGTATACAATGCACAAGCAAATGTTACATTTAACAAATGTGTATGAAAAAAAGTGTTAATAAATTTTAATTGTATACATTCCCCATGGAGCTGATAGGACAATGTAATTTGATAATAATTATAACAAAAGCACAACATCACTGACTCAAGGCGAGGCTATCTGAACGACCGCCGCATCAAGTATATGTGCAGTGTGTTGAGGGGCCCAGCAACCTTTCAGAGTCCTTTGCTTGGATGAAGTCGGCGGGCCTGAAAAGTGGAACAGTCGCTTCCCACTCGAAACCGCAAATATGTGATTTTGCATCAAAATGTAAATATGAAATCTAGATTATACAATCAATTTAATGAGATTGTCCAGCACAATCTCAGTGGATGACCAGCTTTGGCACAGAAATAGTATCTTAAGTGACACCATGCTTGTGCTTTTGACGCAGAGGTCCATCCATGCTACGACTCTGAATCATAAATACAAAATTCTTTCTGATAGGACCGTTTACAGCCACAGAACTATCCAGGCCAACAAACTTGATCTTGTCCTTTTCGATAAATCCAATGAAATCATTCATATCAATGTATTTTCTGTTTCTTTTTACCCCAATGTGATTGACTGGGAAACATGGCAAATATGCGGGCCCGCTTTCGAAATGTCACGCTTGCTTCCCAGGCATCAAGTTGTCCGACTCCCCATTGTTCTCGGTGCCTTAGGTTTGGTACCTCCCAGTCTGTTGACTGACATTGGGAGAGTAGCCGGGTTTTCTACCAGGAATACAGCCCTTCTGACAATCTGGGTAATGCAGAAGATTGCAGTGTTAAGGAGTCTTCACATTCTTCGAGTATGGTTTTACGCCTCTTTTAGCAATCATTCCAGCAATATCACGGCTGGGAACACCAGAAATGGGCTTCACACATTGTACCCATGTGGGGATTCGAACCCGGCTCTTCGGCGTGACGAGCGAACGCTAAGGGCCCTTAACTGATGATGAGCCTAACCAGCCTGACTGTGCTGGATCATCCAAACCTCTTCGCTGCATTTATTTCTTTGAATCTGTATAGAAGAAGAAGAAGAAGAAGAAGAAATATTTTTATTATTATTGCCGAAACACTACAAACCTAAGGTCCAAAACACAACTATCATACCCGTATCAAATACATCCCCATCGAATAACCATTTCTTGTTTGTTTCATTTTTAACCACCATCAAACATGGATCTACTTTCTTTTGCCTCGCAATTAAATTCATCTTTTGGTTGCATTTAGAACTGATTTATGAGTGAGAAACATGTTTTCCCCAACATCAATCAAGAATGGTTTAATCCATGATTTATTGAATCCAAGAATTGGGTTATTTCCAAATAACAAAATATCATATTACCAAATTCCCAGAACTAATGGCAAGTACACAATGCCAAACCAAGGCACTGTAATGTTATCCAATGTGTGTTACAAAGGAAAGCAGTGTCTCACTCAGGCATGCAGGGTCAGCGTACAAGTGGTTCGAGACGGTAACCTGATGCTCTGGGACAGGGGTAATCCTGATTTACAGCTATTGTTTTACATCATGCAATGCTGTCTCCCCGTTACAACTGGACAGCAACCTGCATATGTCAGGGTTGACATCTTGCCTCTGTGACGTTCATGGAAGTCTGATTTAAAAAAAATGTTATTTCTATTAATAATTGGACTTGTGTTGCTGCCGTGCGATGTGTACTGTGGATTCTGTGAGTAGAATAATGTTGACTTTACTCTACTTAGTAAACGTGTCAGTGGGCGTGACTTGGACACGGAGATGTATCAATGAGAATGCTAATAGCTGGTGGGAATACTTTATGGTTGAATGTATCTGGTGATAGGAATTATAACGATATGTAATACTGAACATTTTACACTTAACATTTAAGACTCTACTTGAGCTGGCGATCGGAAATGTAAGGACATGTAATATTTACAATTTGAAACTCTACTTGAGCTGGCGATAAGAAATGTAAGGGCATGTAATACTTACAATTTGAAACTCTACTTGAGCTGGCGATAAGAAATGTAAGGGCATGTAATACTTACAATTTGAAACTCTACTTGAGCTGGCGATCGGAAATGTAAGGCCATGTAATATTTACAATTTAAAGCTCTACTTGAGCTGGCAATCAGAAATGTAAGGCCATGTCATACTTACAATTTGAAGCTCTACTTGAGCTGGCGATCGGAAATGTAAGGCCATGTAATACTTACAATTTGAAACTCTACTTGAGCTGGCGGTCGGAAATGTAAGAGCATGTAATATTTACAATTTGAAGCTCTACTTGAGCTGGTAATAGCATATGTAAGGGCATGTAATACTTATAATCTGAAACTCTACTTGAGCTGGCGATCGGAAATGTAAGGGTAATGCTATGTAATATTTACGATTTGAAACTCTACTTGAGCTGCCGATCGGAAATGTAAGGGCATGTAATACTGAACATTTGAAACCCTACTTTATGGACAGTGTGATCGCGTGTAGCGTTATTATATTGTGTCAGTTAGAGATCATATCACATGTTATGTTGGGGAAATGTGCCAGTATGTAGAAGTGTACACCCGGACAGGAGATTTGTATATTGACGTGTATATCCTCACGTGGTTATTACCAATGTATATACAGCCCAGAACGAGTATATTAACATGTGTTTAACATTTCAGTCTGTGCCCAGTTCCGACCAGGGCGTTTCCGAGCGACGGTCTCCGAGTCAGCGCCGACAGGTAGCCTTGACCTTCTATTCTCAGTCTCATATCCTCCGCAGACCTCTCTTCCAAAAAAACTTGTACACATATTGTAATCTGTTTCCCTGTGCGTGTAATCGTAATGGAAAGTTAGTGATTGAATGTTCGTTTGATTCAAATGGTCGAATCGTTAGGATCACCATAATGGTACGATGACGCTTAATCAATTACGTCATACACTCATAGCACACACTCCCTTACTATCCATGTGGTTTGTTGAAATTTACTTATTTTCAACAGCTTCTTTGTAATTGTGTTAGATCGATTAAGTTTAATTTATGTTTTTTAAATTACCCAAAGTCAACCCTGAAAAGATTCATATATTTATTTTGCATCCTACATCGTTTTGTATTGTCCAGGGTAACGGTGGGTGGGTGGTATTACAAACAAATTGGTTCACCTCAAGCTATACTTGTCCTGTGAGAATATCAGAGTTTACAGCCCCCGTGCCGACCCTGGGGTAGAATGGGTCCCCAGCAACCTATGCTCTTCGTCCCAGGTGACGTGATGGATCGACTGGTCAGTCAGCCTGAGGCTTGGTAGCATGTCAACATAACCCGACGGCGCGGATCGATGCTCATGATATCAATCACTGATTCGTCTGCTTCAGAATCGATTATGTATCATCTTGATGTAGATGGAAAATCGTTGAAATGTTTTTCAACATCAAACCACAAAAAGGTGCACAGTCCGATTTAATGAAATCATCTTGTGTATAACGCCTCAGCGAAGTCCGTGTCATTTGTCAAAGTGGCATGCGTGAATGCGGCGTCAAACAACAAACAACGACAAACAGTTTTCTGCACTGTAATATCACTTGCATCCGCATGTCAACATAAAGCTACGTCTCGACAGAACTATTTCTGAAATAATGTCCTGTGTTTTAAGGAACGGTGATCGGGACAGCCATCGCTGAATCCAACAATAACTCGTCAATGTACATCCTCGAAGGAGATACAGACGTCATCCACTACGACAATACAACGGGCAACATCGTCACTAAAAAAGCAGTGGGCGAATTCAGGGTGAGATAGACAACCAATTAGATTGTGCGAGTGAGTTTGGTTTTGCGCTGCTTTGACCAGTATATGAGGCGTGCCAGCTTGACGTAGACCTATACTACAAAGTGATACAGGTCTTAGACGTTTACCGCTTTGGTCAATTGCAAACCCAACCGGTTATGGTACGGACAACGTTGAAACATTATCTTGGCGAAGCTGGGATTCGATCTAAAGATCACAGGTACCCTAAAGGTGCGCTTCTGGCACGCTAAAGGGAGGCTACTCTGGTTAGGTAATTGTCGCACCCAAAGCCATTAGAATAAAAGTAATTAATCAACTTTAATAATTGACGTAAAGTAAAATATAACTTTATGAGGCAATAAAATCGCTCCTATGTACATGAATGTTTTCTATTTGCAGGGACAGACGCTCCAATTGAAAGGAAAATGTAACGAATACATCCCGACATTGGTGGTACGTAGCTTATGTACACTACGGTAAATGGGTCAGGTCATAATTTTTCGAGTCTGTAGATTAAGACAACACTTCACGGTTACTTGGTTTTACTTACTGTTACTTTGTTTTACTATAACTGTTACTTTGTGTTTCTTTACTACTGCATTGTTTTATTTTACTGTTACTTTGTTTTACCTAACTGATACTTTGCTGTACTTTACTACTACATTGTTTTATTTTACTGTTACTTTGTTTTACCTAACTGATACTTTGCTGTACTTTACTACTACATTGTTTTACTTTACTGTTACTTTGTTTTACCTAACTGATACTTTGCTGTACTTTACTACTACATTGTTTTACTTTACTGTTACTTTGTTTCACTTTACTGTACTTCACATTGACTTGGTTTACTTATTATTACTTGGTTTCACGTCACGGTTACTTGGTTTTACTTTACGACTACATTGTTTTACCTTACTGTTACTTTGTTTCACGTCACGGTTACTTTGTTTTACGTCACGGTTACTTTGTTTTACTTTACTACTTCATTGTTTTACCTTACTGTTACTTTGTTTCACGTCACGGTTACTTTGTTTCACGACACGGTTACTTTGTTTCACGTCACGGTTACTTTGTTTCACGTCACGGTTACTTTGTTTTACTTTACTATTACATTGTTTTACCTTACTGTTACTATGGTATGTTTCAGTATACCATCACTCTTGATGGGGTGATTCAGGTGGAAGTTGAGGACGAGAACGACCCTCCCGTGTTCCTCAATCTGCCCCACACCATCAGCGTGCCAGAGGTACCCACAGGTCCATTCTCCCGTCATCTGTCCATACATTGGCATCCAGCAATCAGTGGATCTACCTATCACTCTAACCACCCCTCCACCTATCACACATCCAGTCATCCATCTGGCTATGAATCCATCTACCAATCAATATGTCTATTTATTCATTCATTCATTCATCCATGCATTAATTACCCGTACATCATTCCATCTATCCATCACGTCAATCAGGCGAACACCTGGTGACGTCACTGATTTTCAACAATCCATTCATATAATTTTCATTCTATTTTACCTGTCGCGCCCTGTTTCGGCGGATAATCGAGACTGGTTATAATCTGGCGTTAACGTTTTATATATATTGAACGGTGTTGCATACGTGTTTCATGCTAATTTTCTTAGGCTGACTTAGCGTGTACAGACAAGCGCATGCGCGCACACATGTATTCACACGCAAACATTCACGCGCGCGCACACACACATGTCCTCCATCCTCTATACTTTTGTATTAAATGTCTAACAACAGTTATTTTATATTTCCTAACAAATGTCCGTGATCACAGCGTCGTTGATATCATATGACGTTATAAATCTCATAAAGATGATTACCGACTCCGTGGTCTAGTGGTAGAGCGTCTGCCCGGAGAGCGGAAGGTCGGGGATTCGATCTCCGGCCGCGTCATACCAAAAGACGTTAAAGGATGGTACTTGTTGTTACCCTGCCTGGCGCTCGGCATGAAGGGGCTAAAACAAGAGTCATTATGATATGTCTGAGTGGGGTATTCATGTTACACTGCGACATTGTATCTCAGTGGGCTAGCACTATAAATCGGCATCAGTCCGGACTAGTACACGCAGCCACACGCACCTGCATGAGTGCAATAATCTTGAACGCGACGTTAAACCCCATTTCACCTCATCCATGAATATAATGTGTTGTAAACCTGTTGTCTAGGCAACCACTGCTGGCAGCATCGTGTATGTAGTTGACGCCGCCAATCCCACGGACGTCGATCCTTTCTTCAACATCGAGATCTATAGTATAGTCGTGAGTTGCATTAATACGGCGCTATGCCACTATACGTTCAGATAAAATATTATCTTTCAGAAGTATTCGTTGGGGGGATTTAAATGAATTGTCGACAACTTCGATCAACAACATTTTTGTATTGAGATATTTATTGCCCACACTTTGGGAATAAATCGGGCTTTGTAAGTAAAAGCGCACTCTCAACAGGATTCTAAAATAGATTCGATGCATAGACGAAAATAATGCGTCTCTTCTCATCAAAACGCTTTGACGGTACAAGAAAAGCATACAACGAGTCTGTATGACGAAGGCTTCTCCCCGGCGCGTTACATATTCGTAACAGTCGCTGAAAGCTTTTCCTAAATTCAGATATATTGCCTGCAAAATTCACACATTTTGCGCCAGGAGGTACGTTGGGCGTTATAATAATGCCATGCGGTTTCAGTTCCATGTGTTTTATTTCGTCATTATTACAAATACTGAAGATGTTGTTCGCAGTGTCCTAGAAATGTAGTTTAATTGTGGTGGATGTAAAAGTATTCGTCGTTGTTATAATTGTAATCGTTGTTCATAGAAGCATATCTGTTACTTAAAGTGTGTCAAAATAATGTTGAATTTGTAAGAAACATGTACCAATTGTTTTAATAAGCATAACCGTTGTTGATAGAAACATATACGCTGCAGAAAGTGTCGTCATAAAGGTTTTGGTTTTGTGATAGGTACAATATATAAGTGTAATCGTTGTTGTTATATACCTATACGGTTTGTACGTGGTAGTTTACGTGTATCCAGTGGTTGTTATACGGAGATTCGTTGATGCTACGATGCTGTAGTTGTTGTCATCACAGACATCGGTGTTTGTAGAACGTCACGGCGGTAGACAGATCAGTGACCCTCGACAATGTGTTCCTGATCGACACCCTCGGCCGTGTCCGACTGGTCAACCCGCTGGACTACGAAGAGGGACACAGACAGCTGCACATAGCGCTGCAGGTTAAGGTAGGTTTTGTTTGTTTTGCTTATTTGTTTGTGGTTTGAGCAATATTCCAGCTATATGACGGCGGTCTGTAATTAATCGAGTCTGGACCAGACAATCTAGTGACTGACATCATAAGCATCGATCTACGCAATTGGGATGCAACGACATGCATCAACCAAGTCAGCGAGCCTGACCACCCGATCCCGTTAGTCGCCTCTTACGGGTTATTTGGTTGCTGAAGACCAATTCTAACCCGGAATCTTCACGGTACTGTCAGCTGGACCACGAGGGGGGTAACAGAGAGCTGCAGGTGAAGGTAGGTAGTCGGACTACGAGGGGGGTAACAGAGAGCTGCAGGTGAAGGTAGGTAGTCGGACTACGAGGGGGGTAACAGAGAGCTGCAGGTGAAGGTAGGTAGTCGGACTACGAGGGGGGTATCAGAGAGCTGCACATAGCGCTGCAGGTGAAGGTAGGTAGTCGGACTACGAGGGGGGTATCAGAGAGCTGCAGGTGAAGGTAGGTAGTCGGACTACGAGGGGGGTAACAGAGAGCTGCAGGTGAAGGTAGGTAGTCGGACTACGAGGGGGGTATCAGAGAGCTGCACATAGCGCTGCAGGTGAAGGTAGGTAGTCGGACTACGAGGGGGGTAACAGAGAGCTGCAGGTGAAGGTAGGTAGTCGGACTACGAGGGGGGTAACAGAGAGCTGCAGGTGAAGGTAGGTAGTCGGACTACGAGGGGGGTATCAGAGAGCTGCACATAGCGCTGCAGGTGAAGGTAGGTAGTCGGACTACGAGGAGGGTAACAGAGAGCTGCAGGTGAAGGTAGGTAGTCGGACTACGAGGGGGGTAACAGAGAGCTGCAGGTGAAGGTAGGTAGTCGGACTACGAGGGGGGTAACAGAGAGCTGCAGGTGAAGGTAGGTAGTCGGACTACGAGGGGGGTATCAGAGAGCTGCACATAGCGCTGCAGGTGAAGGTAGGTAGTCGGACTACGAGGGGGGTAACAGAGAGCTGCAGGTGAAGGTAGGTAGTCGGACTACGAGGGGGGTAACAGAGAGCTGCAGGTGAAGGTAGGTAGTCGGACTACGAGGGGGGTAACAGAGAGCTGCAGGTGAAGGTAGGTAGTCGGACTACGAGGGGGGTATCAGAGAGCTGCACATAGCGCTGCAGGTGAAGGTAGGTAGTCGGACTACGAGGGGGGTAACAGAGAGCTGCAGGTGAAGGTAGGTAGTCGGACTACGAGGGGGGTAACAGAGAGCTGCAGGTGAAGGTAGGTAGTCGGACTACGAGGGGGGTAACAGAGAGCTGCAGGTGAAGGTAGGTAGTCGGACTACGAGGGGGGTAACAGAGAGCTGCAGGTGAAGGTAGGTAGTCGGACTACGAGGGGGGTATCAGAGAGCTGCACATAGCGCTGCAGGTGAAGGTAGGTAGTCGGACTACGAGGGGGGTAACAGAGAGCTGCAGGTGAAGGTAGGTAGTCGGACTACGAGGGGGGTAACAGAGAGCTGCAGGTGAAGGTAGGTAGTCGGACTACGAGGGGGGTAACAGAGAGCTGCAGGTGAAGGTAGGTAGTCGGACTACGAGGGGGGTAACAGAGAGCTGCAGGTGAAGGTAGGTAGTCGGACTACGAGGGGGGTAACAGAGAGCTGCAGGTGAAGGTAGGTAGTCGGACTACGAGGGGGGTAACAGAGAGCTGCAGGTGAAGGTAGGTAGTCGGACTACGAGGGGGGTAACAGAGAGCTGCAGGTGAAGGTAGGTAGTCGGACTACGAGGGGGGTATCAGAGAGCTGCACATAGCGCTGCAGGTGAAGGTAGGTAGTCGGACTACGAGGGGGGTAACAGAGAGCTGCAGGTGAAGGTAGGTAGTCGGACTACGAGGGGGGTAACAGAGAGCTGCAGGTGAAGGTAGGTAGTCGGACTACGAGGGGGGTAACAGAGAGCTGCAGGTGAAGGTAGGTAGTCGGACTACGAGGGGGGTATCAGAGAGCTGCACATAGCGCTGCAGGTGAAGGTAGGTAGTCGGACTACGAGGGGGGTATCAGAGAGCTGCACATAGCGCTGCAGGTAAAGGTAGGTAGTCGGACTACGAGGGGGGTAACAGAGAGCTGCAGGTGAAGGTAGGTAGTCGGACTACGAGGGGGGTAACAGAGAGCTGCAGGTGAAGGTAGGTAGTCGGACTACGAGGGGGGTATCAGAGAGCTGCACATAGCGCTGCAGGTGAAGGTAGGTAGTCGGACTACGAGGGGGGTAACAGAGAGCTGCAGGTGAAGGTAGGTAGTCGGACTACGAGGGGGGTAACAGAGAGCTGCAGGTGAAGGTAGGTAGTCGGACTACGAGGGGGGTAACAGAGAGCTGCAGGTGAAGGTAGGTAGTCGGACTACGAGGGGGGTATCAGAGAGCTGCACATAGCGCTGCAGGTGAAGGTAGGTAGTCGGACTACGAGGGGGGTATCAGAGAGCTGCACATAGCGCTGCAGGTAAAGGTAGGTAGTCGGACTACGAGGGGGGTAACAGAGAGCTGCAGGTGAAGGTAGGTAGTCGGACTACGAGGGGGGTAACAGAGAGCTGCAGGTGAAGGTAGGTAGTCGGACTACGAGGGGGGTAACAGAGAGCTGCAGGTGAAGGTAGGTAGTCGGACTACGAGGGGGGTAACAGAGAGCTGCAGGTGAAGGTAGGTAGTCGGACTACGAGGGGGGTATCAGAGAGCTGCACATAGCGCTGCAGGTGAAGGTAGGTAGTCGGACTACGAGGGGGGTATCAGAGAGCTGCACATAGCGCTGCAGGTAAAGGTAGGTAGTCGGACTACGAGGGGGGTATCAGAGAGCTGCACATAGCGCTGCAGGTTAAGGTAGGTACTGTCAGCTGGACTATGAGGAAGGTAACAGAGAGCTGCACATAGGGCTGCAGGTTAAGGTAGGTACTGTCAGCTGGACTACGAGGAAGGTAACAGAGAGCTGCACATAGGGCTGCAGGTTAAGGTAGGTACTGTCAGCTGGACTACGAGGAGGGTAACAGAGAGCTGCACATAGGGCTGCAGGTTAAGGTAGGTAGTCGGACTACGAGGAAGGTAACAGAGAGCTGCACATAGCGCTGCAGGTTAAGGTAGGTAGTCGGACTACGAGGAAGGTAACAGAGAGCTGCACATAGCGCTGCAGGTTAAGGTAGGTACTGTCAGCTGGACTATGAGGAGGGTAACAGAGAGCTGCACATAGGGCTGCAGGTTAAGGTAGGTACTGTCAGCTGGACTATGAGGAAGGTAACAGAGAGCTGCACATAGCGCTGCAGGTTAAGGTAGGTACTGTCAGCTGGACTACGAGGAAGGTAACAGAGAGCTGCACATAGGGCTGCAGGTTAAGGTAGGTACTGTCAGCTGGACTATGAGGAGGGTAACAGAGAGCTGCACATAGGGCTGCAGGTTAAGGTAGGTACTGTCAGCTGGACTATGAGGAAGGTAACAGAGAGCTGCACATAGCGCTGCAGGTTAAGGTAGGTACTGTCAGCTGGACTACGAGGAAGGTAACAGAGAGCTGCACATAGGGCTGCAGGTTAAGGTAGGTACTGTCAGCTGGACTACGAGGAAGGTAACAGAGAGCTGCACATAGGGCTGCAGGTTAAGGTAGGTACTGTCAGCTGGACTACGAGGAGGGTAACAGAGAGCTGCACATAGGGCTGCAGGTTAAGGTAGGTACTGTCAGCTGGACTACGAGGAAGGTAACAGAGAGCTGCACATAGGGCTGCAGGTTAAGGTAGGTACTGTCAGCTGGACTACGAGGAAGGTAACAGAGAGCTGCACATAGGGCTGCAGGTTAAGGTAGGTACTGTCAGCTGGACTACGAGGAGGGTAACAGAGAGCTGCACATAGGGCTGCAGGTTAAGGTAGATACTGTCAGCTGGACTACGAGGAAGGCCACAGAGAGCTCCACTTACTGATGCAGGATACACAAATTCCGTTTCTTTAATACGAAATTGAACATTTGAGGCTTACTGATGTATTTTTTTTTATTTATTTTGTACATGTACTTGTTGATAATTCCTTCTTTAACAATCCCTTCCCATCATTCTGTACACAAAACACATAAATCACATCTGCATTCTACTCCAGCCATGGGCGATGATGGGGCCTTTCTGTTCCATGCAGTCTTTGCACGTCGCTCTGAAGACCCGAACTCAAATTCAACATGGGTTTAATGTATGAAGTCAAGTCTGTATGTCTTAATTTTGTTTCTTAAAAGGACCATGGCAACCCTCCATTGACAGCCGAGTCATATCTCCACATCTTCGTCAACGACAGTGACGATCAGACTCCAAAGTTTCAACATAAAGTCTACACGGCGTCTGTCATTGGCGAGAAACCAGTGGTGAGATTTTCATGCAGTTTGTGCAAAATACCATCGTCAATATTCACGGGTACACACAACCTTTTCGCACCGCCCGACAATACATAGGGCAGAATATTTTTAATGAACAAATCACAGGGACGAGGGAGAGGGAAGCCAGCGAGCGGTCAGATAATGCATGGAATCATTGTAAGGGATGTTGTCGCGTTGTCGCGTATTTTAGGGCCTTTTTTACACATATTTGTCTCATTGTCCCCCTTTGGTAAAGTAAAAAATATTCTCCAAAGCGCGACAATGCGACAACGAGACAATCTGACAAATGGCCAAAATGTCGGGTTGTTGCAGTGTCGCGTTTTGGTTAATTTTGACACTTTTTGCTTGTTTGGCGACAATGCGACAATGTCCTTTCTAGGATCCCATAATGATGAGCGTTCAGATCACATACAAATTATAATGTTTCTCGCTTGGCAACATGTGACATAGCCTTGTGATCAGTGTCAGGCAATGGTAGGGATCTCACAAAGTTCATGTACGGAGTTGGGTTCACTTGACGTGGGGCGGTTTAGAAGCTTCGTGGTTAAAGCGTTCGATCGACACGCCGACGCCCTGATTCGTTATCCCACAAACTACCTCATTTTATTAGTTTACTACAACAAACGTCACGACTACAGCGTGAACAGTCGTATGTTTGTTTGTTGTTTAACGCCGCACTCAGCAGTATTCACGCTATATGCCGACGGACTGTAAACAATCGAGTCTGGTCCAGACAATCTAGTGACTGACGTCATCTATCTACGCAATCAAGACACGATGACACGATGCATCAAACATGTCAGCGAGTCTGACCACTCGATCCCGTTAGACGCGTCTAATTACAAGCTTGGGTTGCTGTTCTAAGACCAATTCTAACCCGGATCTTCATGTCTACAGTAATATGTCTTCACGGATGATATGTAGTGTATATAACAATGTGATGTATTGGCGCTGTCTGAATATGAATATGAAACTCATATTATCCTTTTATCACAATTATGGCCACATGTGTCCAAACCTACTGCAAATCCCTTGTTGACTATATACCTTAACAAAAGATGCTGCACTTGTTTGTTTCTCTCCCGTCAAAGAAACAAAGCGCATGTCTTACAGATGTAGCACAGTGGAGGGCGGCGCAGTCGTCTCTGGCCCTGCAGTTCGCTGTGTTTCGTCCCTAATGCGTCCACTTATGTTTGTTTGTTTGTTTGTTTGTTTGCTGTTTAACGCTGCACTCAACAATATTCCAGCTATATGACGGCGGTCTGTAATAAATCGAGTCTGGACCAGATAATCCAGTGATACATTATGAGCATCGTCACCGCAACTGGGATACGATGACATGAATCAACCAAGTCAGCGAGCCTGACCACCCGATCCCGTTAGTCGCCTCTTATGACAAGCATAGTCACCTTATATATATTTGGATATACCATATATACAAAATTGTATATTTTGTATATATTGGAATTTTCCCTTGTGTTACGACAAGCATAGTCACCTTTTACTCCCACCCCCACTGACACGCCGTGACCCAACTGTAATACTGTTTAAGCGGCGTTACAGCCAATTTATTCATGATTGTTTTCGAGTTGTAATGATTTAAACCTTGACGAACGAGCCGTTTCTATTTATCTATTTATTTATGTACCACTTGTACCGCAATCTTATACCGCCGACTGATCACTTGCCACTCTGGTTGTAGATTGAAGAGTGCCACCCAACTCGTCCAGCACTGTTCGCAGAAGACCAGGATCCGGTGAAGAAGTCCTTGGTTCGATACAGCATCAGAGATGGTTTGGACTAAAATACCTACTTGTTCCATACTCTTAATCCATATATCTCCATTAATATCTAAATGTTTCCAGGTCACGGGTGGCCCAGTTGTCTAAGATGCCGCAAATCGTTAGGAGGAGTCCCTTAGGAGTGCCAGAAAAATATGATCGTTGGTTCAAATCCTGGTTTGCCATCGATTATGTTTCTAGGTTTGTCTGGACCATACCCGTGGTCGTGGGTTTTACCGAAGTTGTAAACGTCTGAGACCTGCCTCACTTCGGGCTTTCCTCCTACATTAGGCTGATCTGCCTACGCTGTGATATAACTGGCATTTACGATTCAAAGCGGCGTTAAGTCAAGCACATTCTATGTTTCTATTAACGTAATCAGATATAACCGTTACATAACCTCAGAATTTTTAATGATCGTCTCACGTGGACAAACTTAATAACTCGCTGATGTCCAAGCCATGCACGGGGATTTGATTCCGTCAATAAGTCCCAGATGGGGACTCCATGAATTGGTCCCCTGGTAAAACTCTGGTGTGTACGGTGGAAGACTTGATCATACATACAGTGTTTTAGCGTCGTCGTAATAGAGAGTTAGACGATCATACATACAGTGTTTTAGCGTCGTCGTAATAGAGAGTTAGACGATCATACATACAGTGTTTAAGCGTCGTCGTAATAGAGAGTTAGACGATCATACAAACAGTGTTTTAGCGTCGTCGTAATAGAGAGTTAGACGATCATACATACAGTGTTTTCAGCGTCGTCGTTAGAGGGAGTAAGACGACCATCACTAGTTCATGAATATTTTCGCTTTGGGAAGTAGTTTGATGTTCTGTGAATACATAGTTACGTAGTATTTTGCCCTTAGTTTGAGCTGGAATTTTGACAATAGTTGAAGTAGATCCAGGTTGTTATGATCGGTAGCGACCTTTTGTAAAACAAGCTTTTTTTCAGGAATGCCGGTTCAGCCATGGCACTGGCAGAATTTCTTCTTCCTGAACGCGGAGACTGGGGAGCTATGTCAGAGGGAGACGATCCCCCGGGCCGTCTACAAGAGAGGGGATCAAACCGTCGAGGAAGGATTTGAAGGGTTTTATAACTATACCCTTACAGTAGAGGTAAATCAGTAGTTCTGACGGGTGAGTGAGTGAGTGGATTAGTGAGTGAGTGTGTGGGTGGGTGAGTGAGTGGGTGTTTGATTGATTGATTGATTGATTGATTGATTGATTGATTGATTGATTGATAGATAGGTGAGTGAGTGAACGAGTTAGTGTTGTTTATCACCGCAGTCAAATATACAGTAAACTACGGTTATAACAAACTCAAAGGGACTACTAATTTTAGTTCGTTATAACCATAATTCGTTAAAAGCATATATACAGCATAGCTACAGCATATAGCGTGGACTAAAAAGTAAGTTCGTTATATCCGTTAGTTCGTTATAAGCGTGTTCATTATAACCGTAGTTTACTGTATAGCGGTATCAAATCTTCGACTATTCAGAGTATTTACTCTTAATTCTTAAATGACAAACACCCCAGGCCCAGGAGGATAGAGGTGTCAGAGATGCCTGTACCTGGTCAAGTCATGTTGTGATCATAACGTCTTATCGCTCTTCGTCGGGAATAGCTGCAAAAATGCTGACGCATAATTAACATCGTTCACAAGTCATGTAAAACCAATAGTGTTATAGACTAGCATAATAATGCTTGTTGTTACTAGAGCTACCAGATTGACAACAGAAGTAAGTCTGACATCGCCACCCTCCACGTCAACGTCATCGACCAGAACATCCACGGGCCCACGTTCGTAAGACGGCGCTACAAGGCGGAGATAGATGAGTTTCCCGCTGTCAGGGCCGGCACCGTCCTCACTGCAGTCAGCGCCGAGGACGAGGACTACGTATGTATATAGATGCCGTGAGGACACACGAATAATGAATGGGGTTTATTTCATTAAGTATGTTTTACATTTTACTGTCTGGTAACGTGGTATATACGTGCCGTCCATAACGAAATATTCATAAACAACGCATGCAACAACGCCTTAAAATAGTGTATAAATAAAAGACGCCCTACCGATCAAAATGATGCGTGGATTTCACACAAATGAAGTTTAACATGAACATAATAAAATACTACAATATGAAAATTATACTCATCCAATAAACACTTGTCAATGCAAAAGATAATATTCTCGAAACTCGCCTCTCCTTTATATAAATACGCAATTTCTACTTGTTATCTACTAAAAACGGGAAATATTGACGTGAATGTTTCTCATGTTATGTTCTAAGGGTAAGAACAGCTTGTTTGAATATGAGCTCCTGAGCAACCCGGCCGGGGCGTTCTGGATCGACTCCAGCAGCGGAGAGATAAAGGTCACCCGTCCTCGAGCGATAGACAGAGAGAAAAATGAGACCATCACGTTTAGGGTAAATATCTCCATTTATAACAAAACAATCGATGAGGGAGAGTATAACTATTATAAGACAATGTATTGGTGTACACGTACGTGTAATTGAAGTACTATTTTTATTCATAAATGTGAAAGTTTGCTTAATGAACGTTAACTAAACTAAACGTTCTTTAAATGAATGCATACACTTGAAAATTCACACTCCACTCTGTGCGCCTCATGTTCCCTGGGACGTCGTTGCACGTCACCTGTTGTGAACAACATCACCATCGAATAAACATTTCCTGTTTGTTTCATTTCTAGCCACCATCAAACATGGGCGTATACTTTCTTTTGCCCAGCAGTTTATTGTGAATGTTTGAGAGGTATAGAAAGCTCAATCTGTGAAAACTTCGGCCAAAAAGAAACACGCCCATGGTTGTTTAAAAAAACGTTTTTTGAATTGTCTCCATCAATTTGTAAGCTTTCGGTTTTTACTTTTGAACTTAACTATTGTTGGTTGTGTAATTATAGAAGCACACTAATACAATGAAAGACACATGAAACATACACTATGAACGTAATACATTGGTATCCCCGACCTAGACTAACATCTAGTCTCTGAAATGAACATATCGTACAGAAAAAACAGTTGTTCAGTTATCTGAATAAAAATATAATAAAAGGCAGCCTAATGACTCTCTTCATTTTCGGATACTGCAGTAATCTAGACTTGCCAAACATTATAGACTTGCATGGGCTGTATTTGATATATATTTGTATCAGGGTCTGTAAGACAGACTATCCCCGACCCATCTAGCCCCGATGTCACAGCAAAAAGTGTTATTTCCTGTTTATAATTCAGGTATATATGCTTGAACATAAATTGTTTATGTTAGGTCTTCCTACTGTAGGTGAAACAAATATGTTGTTTACGAAGGTCAGGGCTAGAGAGATCTCAACAAGCGAGAAGAGGTTCAGTGACCCGGATGCAGTCGTTGAGGTCACTGTCCTTGATGACAACGACAACAAACCTAAGTTTAGGAGACCCTCGTACAGATTTGACGTGAAGGACAGTCTGACTGTTGGAACAGCCATACATAAGGTGAGCTCTAAACCTCTGTAGAGTTACGTCCCTTGTCAGGATCCGGTGGTCATGGGTTCGAATCCGAGCAACACGATTATTATCCTTGGTTTGTTTGCACCATATCTGTGCTCGTTGGTTTCCCCAAGGTTAAACAGTGGGTCTATTAGCTTTCCGCCCACATTAAACTGACAGGCTCGGATAGAAAGGATCTTATTTCGAATCGATGTTAAACCAATCTTGTTTGTTTGTTGTTGAACGCCGTACTCAGCAATATTCCAGCTATATGACGACGGTCTGTAAATAACCGAGTCTGGACCAGACAATCCAGTGTGAACATAATGAGCATCGACCCATGCATTTGAGAAACGATGACATGCATCAACCAAAACCGCGAGCCTGACCGCCCGATCCATGTGGTCCCTTCATCCGATCCATCTTACGACCAGCATAAGGGACCAAGTCTTACCAATTTCCAAGGGGTAGGGTGAGGCAAAACTGTGCTGGTTTAAAGTAGAGGTGTTACAACTGAGGAGTTGCACGACCCCCAAACTTTTTCCCACCGATTATTTTCTATTCAACCAATAATCACCAGCAGAATTTTGTTCAACCCCTCCTCTCATGGGCCAATATCTACATACACACAGAGGATTTGCTGTGCATCCGAATTTAGAAAGAGTATGTATACACTTACGGGAGGAGGGATTATCTGAGAGAGGAGTTTGATATTTTGGTCCCCTACTTTTAGAAAAATGCTGGATCCGCCCTTGTCAAGAACTGTTCGCTATGTTTGCTTTTCGACCCCATGTCGCAGTTTGAAGAGCGGGTTCGAGCCGACGACCCTGACCTTGGTGAAAACGGCACCATCCATTTCTCCATCACGGGAGTCCAGACGAAGGGGGGCTCGTTCTCAATGAAGGATCTGCAGAGATTCAAGATAGACAGAGACACGGGGGTCATGAAGCTGGCGGACAACCTCCGGGACCTTAGGCGGAAGCGGAAGTTCCCCCAGTACAACGTCATGGTGAAGGCAGAGGACCAGGCCCGCCAACCCAGAGACAGGCTGTAAGAGAGAGAGAGAGAGAGAGAGAGAGAGAGAGAGAGAGAGAGAGAGAGAGAGAGAGAGAGAGAGAGAGAGAGAGAGAGAGAGAGAGAGAGAGAGAGAGAGAGTCGCCGAAACACTGCAAACTTAAGGTCCAAGACAGAACTATGATACCCGTATGAAATACATCACCACAGATTAACCATTTCTTGTTTGTTTCATTTTTAGAAACTATCAAACATTGGTGCATACTTTATTTTGCGCGGCAGTATAGTTCAATCTTTTGGATGCTTCGTGAACTGATTTATGAGTAAGAAACATACATGTTTCCCTCAACGTTAGGTCATTTGTTCTCTGAAGTATGAAAAGCTAGCTTGATTTTCTTGTGCCAAGGCTTAGCAGTTCAAGTCAAGTTTTCCATCCGCGATTAGCCGTGTGGACATAATGCTATTTATCATATAAGGAATAGTGTTATCGATGCGATAGAACGGTCCGATAAACTTGATATCACGATCCGATAAATATGCAAATGAGGTCACCTCATCCGGAACTTCTTTTAAGCTTCACACAACGATGCAATGTCTGCTTGATGAATACTTTAATGACTGACGTTCCAGTTAAGTGTTAACGGCGGTTTCACGATGTGAGGGTATTTCATAAGACAAACATGGCTGAAAAGTATTTGGCACTATATATCACAAATGGGGCGGTTCACTCAAACATTGTAATCATACGCGGTTTCTGTACTTACTTCATTGACTGATTATTCGATTATTTCAAGATTGACATTATGTGAAAAAGAGATTATTAGGCGAGTGTGTTTCCAATTGATGTTGTCTTCGTGTCCTCAGGTCCTCCGTTGTCCGTGTGGTCGTCCAAGTCACGGAGGCCAATGACTTTCCTCCATTCTTTGAAAGGACCAAGCAAGTGTCTTATATCAGTGAAGCGGCCACCATAGGTTCCCTGATCACAAAGCTAAAGGTAGGTGACGGAGACTTCAGCTGATTACCGCTATGGTGTAACCCACGCACGGGTATGGTGTTAACAAACCTAGAAACATAATTGGGGCGAACCTGGATTCAAACCCACAATCATCTGACGTGCCTAAGGAACGAATTGCGGCGGCTTAACTGACTGGATCACCGTGCCCCCATCTTCAATGTGAGGAATAATCGCCACTTTTATTAGAAGTTGCGTATGTGATGTTGGATTATATGCCTAATGCATATTCTTACTTGTTAAATTATAGGCACGAGATGAAGATGGAGACGAGGATGTTTACCTAAAATTCAGGATCATTTCAGGAAACGAACAAGGATCATTCAGGGTGTCTGACAAGTAAGTAGCGTGTGTCACAGTATAGTTGGCTTACGTTCCTTGAATATATTGGTAGAATTGAATATATCTGCTCGACGTGTTTGACGTATTTTGTGGCTCCCAGACTTGGCGGTACACAGACATTGTTGAATTTCAGTTTTCAGTGGATTCTCTCCATCTGGAATTTAGAGGAATGTTCTTGTTCCCATGATGGTACATTTTGAGGAGTGATATTGTTACAACTAACACAGCTGATGTGTGGTTTGTTTGTTTGTTTTCTGACAGAGGCTATTTGTTTACAAACCGCCCACTCGACAGAGAACTCCGCGCATCGTACAGACTCACACTAGAAGCATCGGATGGCAGACACGTAAGTTGGGTGGACTCTAGGGCTGGGACGGGTAACTGGGGTACTCGCGCCGGGTGGGTCCTGAGTAGGACACTGGTACGTACAGGACTACCCGGAGCCCGTGGTTAGTCACGTGATATATTGTTTAATGACAAAAAATATCTAAAACTCTATGGTTACAATACAAGTCACTATTGTTCTCATTTCTTTCTGACAATGCACCCATTCCTTCTGACTTTTATATGTTTGAATTAAGATATAACTCCATGCAGTAAACTTGCATGACCAGATCGTTTTACACATGTATCTAAATACATTTTGCCAAGGCTACGGTCAAACGTTTCCAAATCGGACAGTTTGTACCTATCTCTAAATATCTACAACGGGTACGCGGGTAGGGTCGGGTAATAGGGTGGAGGGTACCCGGGTAGTAAATTTGGACTCGTCCCACTCCTAGTGGACTCTTCACTCGGAATGTGGACATATATACAGTAAACTACGTTTATAACGAACACTCTTATTACAAACTAACGTATATAACGAACTTATTTTGTTGGTCCCGCTATTTGTGTATATATGCTGTTTACATGCTTATTACGTACTACGGTTATAACGAACTAAAATTCGTGGTCCCTTTGAGTTCGTTATAACCGTAGTTTACTGTACTTGTTAACATTCCTTAATATTCTGCGTGTCGTCGCACGTATTTCTTGTGTGAATACTGATAGGTCCATCCGAGCTAAATATTCCTCAGTATACAACGATAATGTGGACTGAAATTTTCTTCAGTTTACAATACCGATGAGTAAGTAAAATGTTCCATAGTAAACAAATCGTCGAGGAACAAACAAACGTTGTTAACAGACGTTGTGAACAAACATTGTGAACAAACATATTGAACAAACGTATATATATTCGTAATGAAAAAAAGAAATTATACACCTATGTTTGACGGTGGCTAAGAATGAAACAAACAAGACCTGGCTATTCGATGAGTATGTATTTGGTAGGTATCATAGCTGTGTTTTCAAGTGTATCCTATCGTATTGAGATGTTTGTACTGTATTCTTTTATAACATATTTTGATTACGTTTTCAGACTGCTGAGGCAATATTAACTGTTCATGTGCGTGACACAAACGACCATGCCCCAGTTTTCAGCCAATCAACTTACGACTTTACTCTATCAGAAGACGCTTCAACCAATCAGATGATAGGGAAAGTTGTTGTGACGGATAAAGACGAAGGGCCAAACGGGAAAGTAATATTTTCGTTGTCCGGAGAACATTCTGACATATTTGGTATTAAAAAGGTACGTTTATCGGACATATACTTTAATCATCCTTTTTTTAATGTTATTGAAATGAGTTGTAATTCCCAGATATTCGTTAAACTTCGATATATTTTCGATTCTCTCCAGATAAATGCCTTTGTTTTAATCGTATTTAAGGTTTTACAAGACAGTTTTAAATACCACAATCAGGACCTTGAAAATATCGTACATGTCCAAAATTCAAAACGTCAATGCTAGAGCAAATTTAGTCTCGAATATCTGTCGAAACATTCCATTGGGCGTAAAAAACAAAAGTGATGAAAAATTGTGAATGGATCATAACACAATGTCACCACCAAGTTCATTTTTTAGTTATAAGGAATCATGGAAAGTACATTTTACTATTGTTTGCGAGTAGTGGAATATGTGGTACGTCTCCTGTACGTCCCCACGTACAAATACGGAGGCAAAAATGATCCTCAATACTCTTATTATCATCCACTGGTTAACTCCACTGTGGTGTAAAACAACATTCACTCACTCACCCTGTCTGTATACCAGAGCGGCGAGATCTACCTGCGTCGGCGTTCTGTTGTCTTGGACCGTGAGACCACGGACCGGATCAACATCCAGGTCAGAGCGGAGGATCTCGGACAGCCCCCGGAACAGGTCAGACTTTAAATCGATTATCGATGTATCACCATTATTCATTGCTCGGGCTCGGGAGCAGTAAGAGGCGACTAACGGGATCGGATGGTCAGGCTCGCAGACTTGGTTGATGCATGTCATTGATCCCATTTGCGTGGATCGATGCTCATGATGTCAATCACTGGATTGTCTGGTCCAGACTCGATTATTTACAGACCGCTGTCATATAGCTGGAATATTGCTGAGTGCGGCGTTAAATAAACAAACGAATCAATTCCAAGTGAGAATATAAATAGTTTTGACTCTAGGCAACTATCGATATCATTGACATACATACAACATGGAAAATAGATTGTAACAGTTTGGTTGAACGCCGCTTTGAACAGTGTCCACGGCGTGTCAGCATGATGTTGGAGGAAAGCCTGAAGTCATGCATGTCTCAGATGTTTACCACTTTGGTCAAATCTGCGCGCAAGGGTATGGTGCTGACAAACCTAGAAACATAAACCGCGGCGAACCGGGATTCGCAGTGAGTTGCGGCACCTTTGACGAAAAACTGAAACGCAATATATACTCCGAGAATGGGTACCCGGTAGAATGAGATGGTAATGGGAAAATAGCAGTTATAATGTGGTATTTCCTTATTTAAGTTCGGCACAAAATACGTTTTCATTCATATCAATTAATATCAAGTGTATTTTAAATGGGGAATTATTATAGACAACCCTATGTATAGCTGTGTGATCAAAACGCCTAAGTAATGAGGTATTCAAACACATAGCTGTGTCGCATGACGAGATGCCAACATGTGACCTACCGACAGTCACAAATCAATTATGTCTCCCTACATTCATGAAGGAGCAGTGGGGTAGCCTATTGGATAGTTCATCACGCCGAAGGCCCGCGCTCTACTCCCAGCATGGATACAATACGTGAATCCCATTTCCGGTTACTATGATGTCGACAGAATGTTTCTCAAACGTAAAGCTTTGACTTTTATACATCTTCGTATAATCGACCAAACCCTTTCCATAATCATAAATAATCCATAATCCATAAAATAGTCCATTGTAAGATGCCGACTATATCATAAGCATGCGTTTATATTATGAACCACTATCGAATTGTGATGACAGCAGGTGTTCGTTAGACGGTGGACACCCGCCATGAACACATGCAAAGGCAAGTCAAATCGATAAAAAAAAATATCCCTTTGTGTCACTACATTTGTAGAACACAAGAAGCTATCTGACAATCACAATTCCAACTAACGTCAAACATTTCCAGGGTGACGCCACAGTACGGATACGTCTCCTTGACGTCAATGATAACAGACCAGTGTTCACAGAGACTCGGTACGTTACGGAAATAACAGAGGAATCTCCTGGTCGCAACAGACGTCGCAAACTCGTGCAGCTGGTGAGTAGACGCTATCATACACCTCGTCAAACACTGGCGAGTAGACGCTATCAGAAACCTTGGCAAACACTGGCGAGTAGACGCTATCATACACCGCGTCAAACACTGGCGACTAGACGCTATCATACACCTCGTCAAACACTGGCGAGTAGACGCTATCACAAACCTGGTTAAACACCGGCGAGTACACGCTATCATACACCGCGTCAAACACTGGCGACTAGACGCTATCATACACCTCGTCAAACACTGGCGAGTAGACGCTATCACAAACCTGGTTAAACACCGGCGAGTAGACGCTATCATACACCTCGTCAAACACTGGCGATAAGACGCTATCATACACCTCGTCAAACACAGGCGAGTAGACGCTATCATACACCTCGTCAAACACTGGCGAGTAGACGCTATCATACACCTCGTCAAACACTGGCGAATAGACGCTATCACAAACCTGGTTAAACACCAGCGAGTACACGCTATCATACACCGCGTCAAACACAGGCGAGTAGACGCTATCATACACCTCGTCAAACACTGGAGAGTAGACGCTATCATACCTTGTCAAACACTGGCGAGTAGATGCTATCATAAACCGCGTCAAACACAGGCGAGTAGACGCTATCATACACCGCGTCAAACACTGGAGAGTAGACGCTACTATCCTACCTTGTCAAACACCGGCGAGTAGACGCTATCATACACCGCGTCAAACACAGGCGAGTAGACGCTATCATACACCGCGTCAAACACTGGAGAGTAGATGCTATCCTACCTTTTCAAATACTGGTGAGTAGATGCTATCATAAACCTAGTCAAACACGGGCGAGTAGATGCTATCATAAACCGCGTCAAACACAGGCGAGTAGACGCTATCATACACCGCGTCAAACACTGGAGAGTAGACGCTACTATCCTACCTTGTCAAACACCGGCGAGTAGACGCTATCATACACCGCGTCAAACACAGGCGAGTAGACGCTATCATACACCGCGTCAAACACTGGAGAGTAGATGCTATCCTACCTTGTCAAACACTGGTGAGTAGATGCTATCATAAACCTAGTCAAACACGGGCGAGTAGACGCTATAATACACTTCGTCAAACACTGGCGAGTAGACTATCAAAAACCTGGTCAAACACTGGCGAATAGACTCTATCAGAAACCTATTCAAACACTGGCGAGTAAACGCTATGAGAAACCTGGCCAAACACTGGTGAGTAGACACTATAATATTCCTGGTCAAACACCGCCACATTTTGTAACGCTCCAGTATCAATATCGTGACAATTCTCTACCTATATCACATGGATACGCATGGCAACTAAGCGCGTCGTTTCGATTGAGAGTAGTTTCCCCTGTAGTGAGCAGAATTAGGTTTACAGATTGATCATTCCGGTAACTGCGTAACTGTGCGAAATTCCTTGCCAAAACATATCGGGGTGACTTGGCGCCGTCTTCATACAAAGTTTCTTTCCCCTTAGAACTGTTGTACATCTTTAAAGTGGAGTTAACATTACCATGCATTTCACCATAATTTGTGTCAAGAACACAACATCGTTTGATTGATTGATTTATTATATAGAATTTTGATTTGTTAATAATGCATTTTTAAAAATGCAAATCTTTACCCCGCCACCGGGGTACATGGCCAGATCAAATAAACACAAGTACACTTTATATCTTCAAAGAGAGGAGTTTTCAGGTATGTGCAAAATAAGAATAAATAAATATTTTATATAGATATTTGTTATTTGAAGATGGCTTACATGCTAGACTGCAACAGCCTGTGAGGCAATGCGATAGAAGGAAGTACACCCACAAGATGTATGCTTCGTTCCAACCCCACACAATCGTATCTTCCCATGATTACTTCCGCCCCCTCAGTTGTGGCCGCAGACCTATAATTATAGATAGTTTTTAAAAGTACCATCATAAGTTTCTAACAACTTGGACATTTTGACGCTACCCGCACCATCTTATCACGCTAACATAACTACAGTCACGGGCAGGGATCTTCCAACAAGCCCATCCCTTCAACGTTAAATGTTGTGCCTGAAAACCTGGATCACGCCATCCCAATGTTTGGCCCGGTTAGTACCCGAAACCTACATTTAATAGAGGCGACACAATCTCTGACAGGAAGACGAGCTGTTGGCTGAGGACGCTGACAAGGACGTCGGTAACCGCAACATCACCTACAGCCTACGCGGTGTTGGGACTGACGTCTTTATGATTGACAAGAGAACTGGGCGTGTGTATATCAGACAGACTCGTCTTGTTGATTGCGAAGTGAAGTGCGATTACAAACTGAAGGTGAGGCTTGCGTGGAAATTTCGTGTTTCAAATGTCAAGGACGGCAATTGCCAAATTTAACTGCCAAATGAAAGTACACACTATTGGAAGTAACAGTAGAAAATTTGCAATTATGTTCATCTAATCATCGTCGTCGTCATCATCATCATCATCATCATTGCTGTTGTAGTTGTAAATTAGTAATTATATTCATCTAATTATTATCACCATCATCGTCGTCGTTGTTGTTACAATCTGTAATCCACCTTGGGTACATTTTGTTCTGGGTACGGGGGGGGTCTAGCAGTCTAAGGCGTTACATCTGTCAGTTGTCTCCCGTTGGTGCTTTGATCAATTCGTAGGTTCGAATCCCAGATGCATCCAGATAGGTGCCCGTGGTTTGTCAGCATCCATTCCGTTATTTTAACACACGTGGTGAATGAGGTTGTTTGTATGTTGTTTAACGTCGCAATCAGCAATATTCCAGCTGTATGACGGCTGTCTGAAAATATCTATTCTGGACCGGACAATCCGGTGATGGACGTCATGAGCATCCTAGGATACAATGATGTGAAATCAACCAAGTCACAGAGTCTAACCACCAGATCCATTTAGTCGCCTTTTGCGACTGGCATGAGTTGCTGGGGACCTATATACTATATACTCCGAGCCGACCAGGTCTACTGTTAACCTCTGGGGCGGTCGGGTAGGCTAGTGGTTGAAGCGTTCGCTCGTCACGCCGAAGACCCGAGTTCGATTCCCGACATGGGTACAATGTGTGAAGCCCATTTCTGGTGTCCCCCGCCGTGATATTGCTGGAATATTGCTAAAAGCGGCGTAAAACCATACTCACTCACTGTTATCCCCTAAATGCCGAGCGCCAGGCAGAGTAACAAAAAGCACGTCTTTTGGTGTGACGAGACCGGATCGAGTCACAGACATTCTGCTCTCCGGGCAGACACTCTATCCACTAGACCACGGAGGCGGTTTTGAATTAAGTAATATATGTTGAGAGTTGTTTCATTGCCAATAATCAACTACTATGATATAAGTTTGTCTTTTTGAATTTACAAACAACAATATTACGCACGTGTAGTTCGCCACAGTGGCCCTGTCGTCTTAGGCCCTTCAGCTCGCTATGCAGTGTTGCGTTCGTGGGAGTCAAATTATCATGGGTTCGAATTCCAGTTCTCCCTGATTATGTTTTGAGGTTTGTCAGCACCATACCTGTAATCATGGATTTCAACTAAGTGGTGGGTCACGGGTGGCCCAGTCGTCTAAGGCGCCGCGATTCGCTGTGCAGAGTTGCGTCCCTTGGGCACGCCAGAAACCCACGATTGTAGGTTCGAATCCCGGTTTGCCCCGATTATGTTTCTAGGTTTGCCAACACCATACCCGTGCTCGTGGTTTTCACCGAAGTGGTAAACGTCTGAGACCTGCATCATTTCAGGCTTTCCTCCCACATTAAGCTGACACGCCGTGATATAACTGTAATATTGTTAAAAGCGGCGTTTAACCCAACTCACTCACTCAACTACGTGGTAAACGTGTTTGACTTAATAAGGCCACGTGGGGCTTATTACAACATGAAGCTGACACGCTGTGATGTAACTGACATACTGTTCAAAGCGGCGTTGACTAAACTCACTCACTAATAAACATATTGCGTACAATTAAGCAGACAATGCCAACCCGTCCATCCCTTGCCTTAGGAAACTATCACTACAGTCAGGCACATGATGAGTGAGTGAGTGAGTTTGTGTAACTGAATTCCAGTCACATCACGACGTGTCGGCTTGATGTAAGAGAAAAGCCTGAAGTGATGCAGGTATCAGACGTTTACCACTTTGGTGAAACCCACGAGCACGGGTATGATGCTGACAAACCTAGAAATATAAGGAAAGTGAACCGGGATTCGAACCCAACTTAGGCGACTGGGCCACCCTTGCCCCCGTCATAATTATGAACACATTCTTCGTGAGAAGATGATCAGGGCTGTATCATTTGATCAACATCTTTACACACAATCTATCGGTGAACAGGTCGTAGCTAGAGATCGCGGTGGAGATGGTTTGGAGGGAACGGCTGATCTGGTCATCAAGATCAAAGACATTAATGACAACAAGCCCACCTTGACGAAGAACTACACGTTCCGCGCCTCACCGCGGGCCAAGGTCGGTTCCGTGATCGGGGACATCGACGCAGTGGACGTAGACGTGGACGCCCGCAACAGGCGCGTCATGTACGTGCTCAAAGACGGCGGGTACGGCAAGTTCAGCATCGACTTCGATTCAGGTATGACATTCATTTTGGCTGTGACAGTCGGCAGACGGGCTAAATCTTTCCTTTCAAGCAACGTGTTACCGTGTGATAGGTATATATGGCCTCATGGGTATTGGTTTGCGTAATGTGAAGTTTCAATACGTGTATGAAGAATATCTCTTGGAGACATAGCACCAAGTTGTTGACTGGTAACTGCATCTGTTTTCGAGAAGTCAAGTGGAGAATTTGAGTCAGTGAGGGGTGAGGGAAATTGGGGAAATTGAGAAACGAGCTGTGATGAATTAACTGTATATGAAGGGCATGTCACCAAATAAACTACACGAAGTGCACATGAAACTACACGAAGTGCACATGAAACTACATGAAGTCCACTCGTGGATGACTGCAGATTACTTCCCCTTGCCAATCCTCGCCCGTTCTAGCATTCTCTGACTTTAATCTTATCCCTCAACTCAAACAACGCGTGGTGGAAGGTCATCTTCGGAGGCAAGGAAGTTAACTGACTGTAAAAGTCCAGTTTCCATATATATCAGTCTTTACTCTTGGTCCCCAAAAGGGCCTCGACGGCGGCAATCACCTCGCCCTTACTGGTAAAACTTTCACCCATCTTTCCGAGGCAAGGGAGTTAACTGCTGACTCGGGAAGAAAGATGTGTGAAGGTTTTATCAATATATAGGGCATCGCTGGACCAATGTACTGAGGTCAAGGGTGGTTATACTGAAAATAATGCGTGAATAATTTTGATTCTGAACCATTTTCTATGTGATGCCATGAACATTTTCCAGATGGCATGACATATGAAAGAATCGGGTGCTTTTTAATTCTTTTGAGTTGTATTAAATAATCAACTCACGATTCGAAATCACTGATTATATTTCATAATTTAGTCTCTGTACTTGAAATTTAATCAATTTGACAAATGAGTCGTAGTGTTCCCGCCGCTGGGTATTCTCTGAAATACCGATGTCAGACTTGACATGATATATGAAATTACAGAAATTCCCAATTATCCTTTAACAATGCCAGCATATAAAAATAATCCACAACATACACACCCTTGCATGGATCATGTCCCCTCTCCATTCTACTCCCCACCCCAGGCCGGCTGATCCTGGTCGACTCCCTGACCCGCGAGCCTCAGATGGAGACGTACAACCTGGCGGTGGAGGTGATGGACACCGGGGAGCCACGCCTTAGCACCATGGGGGTGGTCAGGGTGCAGGTGCCCGTCAACAGGAAGCCTACACTAGGGGTGGCACAGAAGGTGGTGGTCAGCGAGGACGCGCGTGTGGGGGTGAGGATCGGCCGGGTCAACGTAACCGACTCTGATTCCCTGACATACAGACTGGATCAGACTGATTCAGGTATGGCGTTTGTTGTGATCATTACGTCCATGATAAAATTATGAATCAGATATATTTTTTTTATCTCATTAAGATTCAAGATAGTTTTTTTTACTGAGTGAAGATTTAATCTGGAACATATTCTTTATTTGGTTCAATGTTCGTTAACTGGTATACTCAGATATTAGATGTTTTGTGAAAGACACTGTCAATCTAAGTACATATACAGATGACCGGGAACAGACTGATAACTGATAACAAACCATCTACACGGATTGAGGCTTCTGGTTATGAACGTTTGCCGCTGATTAGCACTGTGCCCTATATGTGTTAAAACAACAGGAAGCGAAGTTTGTGAAATATTGATTCTCCCACTGAATTACTTACTAACTTAAAACTGACGTATTGCAAAATTCTCATTGTTTGAATGTCACGTATGCAGATCTTTCAGGACTGGATGATTTCTTATAGCACAAACCTGTTTTCTTATTGTAAACTGCCGGGAATATGAAAGTATACACTTAAATTGGATTTGACCAAAACATTGCCAACGATAATAAAACGTTATTAGATTGAAAACAGTCGCCGAAACACTGCAACCTTAAGTTCCCCCAAAACAACTCACAGTCTGTGGTCCCCGTATCAAATGCATCACAGCAGAAGTTATTGTGCGTGTCATATTTAGCCACCGTCATACATGAGTATATACTTTCTTTTGCCCTGCAGTTTATTAAAAAACGTTGTCGAAATATTTTATTTCATTAGGGGAATATTTGAATACAGTCTCTCTTTGTTCAATAATGACTTTAATAGTTACACATTATTATACTGCGGTCGCCACTCTAATGACCTTCACGTGGTGTACGTGTGTTTGTTTGTTGTTAAACGCGACATTCAGTAATATGACGGCAGTCGGTAAATAATCGAGTCTGGACCAGACAAGCCAGTGATTGAAATCATGAGCAACGATCCACGCAATTGGGATATGATGACATGCATCAACAAAGTCAGCGAGCCTGACCACCCGATCCCGTTAGTCGCCTTTTACAGCAAGCATGGATTGCTGAAGACCTAGCGGGTTATAATATGGTGCACGTAAACGATACTCAAATAAAAGAACTACATGTCCATTTGTTGCTATAGTTCCATTCCGGGTGAGCTCTGACGGCACTATCAGCACTACCAGAAAACTGGATAGGGAGGATAGTGAGGCGTACACACTGAAGATAGTCGTCACAGATAGGGGCTACCCGATCAACACCGTCACCGCCACCGTCGACGTTGTTGTACAGGACGTCAATGACAACGCCCCAGTGTTCACGTTTACCAGATACTCAGGAGAGATTGTGGAAGATGACGCCAGCCCCAAGAGGAATCAAATTGTAAAAATGGTAAGAATGTTTTAAAGTGTAAAGATAAAATCGATTTTATTGATGGACATGTACGTGTATACCTTGGCATATTAAAAAACGATTTGAAAAATATACGATCAGTATAAAATCTCAGATTATTGCGTGAAAATACGCGGTTTTAAGATGAATTTCTTTTTTAAAATTCATCTGTGACGTCATTACACATAACGCCAAAAGGCAATGTCGACAACATGTAGCTGGAATATTGCTGAGTGCGGCGATACAGAAGCAAAACAAAGTCATATAGATGATTTTAGCTCTCATAATAATTCATGTGGATACATTGAAGCTACAACATAGAATATATTTTAGCCAAACACTAATTCTTAATTTTATGCAGGATATATGTAGGCACTGACACATCTGAATTTGATGAGTAGCAGCTACTCAAATTATGTTTATTTTATTTTATCTTTTTTCTTCATTTCTTTGACATACTTTAGAGTTCAGGTGAGGTGAAATGGGGTTTAACGTCGCGTCCAAGATTATTGCACTTATATGGAGACGTGAATGCATCTGTGTGTGTGGCTGATGTACTCGTCCGGACTGATGCCGATTTATAGTGCTAGCCCGCAGATAGGCCATGCCGCAGTTTAAAATGAATACTCCACTCAGACACAGTATACTGACTCCAAGACGACTAGTTCTTGTTTTATCAATGCTGAGTGACAGCCAGGGTAACAACAAATACCATATTTTAACGTCTTTTGGTATGATGCGGCCGGGGATCGAACCCCGGACCTTCTGCTCTCCGGGCGGTCGCTCTATAGCTACCACTAGACCACGGAGGCGGTCACACATACAGTAAACTACTTTAGAGCGAGTGAGTGCGTGAGTATGGTTTTATGCCGCTTTTAGCAATATTCCAGCAATATCACGGCGGGGAACACAAGAAATGGGCTTCACACATTGTACCCATATCGGGAATCGAACCCAGGTCTTCGGCGTGACGAGCGAACGCTTTAACCACTAGGCTACCCGACCGCCCCCATACTTTAGGAGTTGGAAGAACATGAAGACACGGAACCTTTCATGGATAACAACGTATATGCTATTTGTAGCGAGGTTTCTGGGCTACTTCTTAAAGTCGATTCATTAACCTGATGAAGGGTCGAGAGTGAGTGAGTGAGTACGTGTTACGCCGCTTTTAGCAATATTCCAGCAATATCACGGCGGGGGAACCAAAATAGGCTTCACACATTGTACCCATAAAACATGTTATGTCTTAACCCTCCTCAACATGTCAATGTTTCCGTTTTTATTGCTTTAATGACTTGGTTTTTTTTCTTGTTACAAACTGGAACTACCAAATGACTAAAAAACCTTCGAATCGTTGTTAGTCAGGGGAGATAACTGTGACGGACGGCGACGGGACCGAGGAGAACCGAGGTGTTGTCCTGTCACTGCGGGGTGAGGGGAGCGACAAGTTCACCATCGACTCGGACACCGGGATAGTGAAGGTCAAGGTCCCAGGGTCCATAGACTGTGAAGTCAAATGTTTCTACGCGTTTAAGGTAAATCATCTTGGTATTGTGTTGTAATATAGGGCTACACAAATGGTATCACAGGTGTCTGGCCGTCTTTGTACATACACTACCGTGCCATACGTTAAGGGACAGAGTCTTAATGATCAATACAATCCCATCCCTTCTTTTATGGGCACTTGTGTCTGATCATTACATACCGGCATTACTCGACAGAGAATCCATCAGGTGGAACGCTATGGTACCGTTAGGTCTCGTGGTGCCACGGGACAATATGGTCCGAGGACGTGTCCTTTTTGTTGAATACAATTTGGTTACAAAATTTGAAGAAGTAAGAATTACGTTGTAACACTTTTAATACAATGTATTCGTTTTTGCAAACGCAACGTTTTCACAGTGCAGTAAGGAGATGAATCACACCTTGCACTGTGCTCTTGGCTAGATCTAGCAGTTGATTTATTTACCTTTCTATGATATGTTTTTTTTGCTGGAGATAGTATATTCCATCATAATATTCCGAACCATCATAAAATCAGTGGCAGTAATCGTCAGAAACGCAGCAGACGACAACAAAACATGTTGCACGCGATACTTGATGTCATCAATCTGTTTGCATCACATTTCATGGGTCAAAAGTTAGACATGCTAAACCAAATGTGATGGTCTTGCTGTTGCCAAACTTGCAAAGTCTCAAGGCGCCGCGATTCGATGTGCAGAGTTGCGTCCCTTGGGCACGCCAGAAACCTATGATTGTGGGTTTGAATCCCGGTTCGCCCTGATTATGTTTCTAGGTTTGTCACCACCATACCCGTTCTCGAGGGCTTCACTGACGTGGTAAATGTCTGTGGCCCGCATCACTTTGGGCTTTCCTTCGACAAGGGCAAGAGAGTTAACAACTATAAAAGCGGCGTTTCCACACTTGCTGAACTAGGCTTGTATTATGGAGTTAGATTTTGGCTGGACTAACGAGTCTATGCATAGTCCAATCAAATTTGTGCAATGAAATCAAAATCTTGTTCTTAAACTGGCATGCAGATTTCGGTCAATTGCAGGATTTGCAAAGTATGTGCACCGCCAACTCGTTGTCAACAGATATTTTCCAAATCTTTTCATGTTTTTAATCAAGGTGCTCACGTGGTTTGATGCACTTCGCGATGTAAGACCCGTTTTGTCAACAAAATAGATCCTGCTTATCGATCTTGACTGGGCGCCGCCATTTTGTTTGAAGCAGATGCAAGTGATACGAGAATTGGAATCTGATTGGTCCTTAGGAGAGGCAGAGAAGGGACATAACTTGACGTAATAGGCACTGGTGGCGCTACAAAGGAATTGCAGGCTAATTCAGCATGCCATTGTATCCCAATTGCATGGATCGATGCTCATGATGTCAATCACTGGATTGCCTGGTCAAGACTCAATTATGTACAGACCGCCGTCATATAGCTTTAATATTGCTGAGTGAGGCGTTACACAACAAACAAACAAACAGTGTGAAGATCTGACGACATCTCCACGGGAGGTCACATCAGGCGAACCCTGAGAGAACTTTGTCATAAACAACAATCAAATTATTATCATGATTATTAGAGATTGAACGACAGTGCATAAACATTGAAAATTATACTTTTTTTATATTCCTTCTACTTCTGTAAAGAGATCTGTAATATCAGAGACCATATAATAGTCTCTGGTATAATATTATATGGTCTCTGGTAATATACACAAGAAAAGAGAGACTGTCACATCTTAATAGAAGGTGTGTATAAGGTTTACTTACAGATTGGTCAGGATGTTGGATGGGGAGGTACTTATATTTAGTGTATCAGGCCTCTTAAAACAACAAATATGGTACGTCAATGTTTCAGCTTCACGCACAAGACCAGAAGGGCCGGGGTCTGAGTGGCAAGGCTGACATCCTCATCAGTGTGCAGGACCTCAACGACAACTCCCCGACCTTCCAGCCTAATCTGACCTTCACCTTGAACTCTCTCACAAAGGTCGGTGCCCAGATTGGCAGTGTCAAGGCCACAGATAGGGACAAGAAGGGCCCCAATAATGTCGTCCTCCATGTTCTTACTGAAGGAGGAGATGGCAAGTTTGAGGTTGACCCGTATACAGGTAAGTTTGCAACATTTCATGCTCTTGGTTTAAGATGTTTTGTAGAGGTTCACAACCAAGAATGAGGTCTTGGTGGGAGTAGTAAGACCTTGGTTGAGATAGTTTTTTGTTTGTTTGTTTGTTGTTTAAAGACAATCCAGTGATTGAAATCATGAGCATCGATCTACGCAATTGGGATACGATGACATGCATCAACCAAGTCAGCGAGCCTGACAACCCGATCCCGTTAGTCGCCATTTACGATAAGCATAGTCACCTATTATGGCAAGCATGGGTTGCTGAAGACCTATTCTACCCAGGATCTTCACGGCTGGGAGAGATGGGTCAAAAAGTAAGATTGAGGGCCAATAGGGAGAATTGGAATGCATGTGTTAATTTTTTAACCATACCCCAAGGTCTTATGACTTCCACCAAGATCTCATGGTCGTGAACCAGCTTATGAACCAACAAGTTCTTAGATTTATACAACATTAATCAAATATGTCTGCATACCCCTGGGTTCATCTAACGCTCATAATTATGCACTGCACATGCACTAACTGGTGGTTGATGTACACTGTCAGTGGGAAAACACTGGTTACAATACTAAACAGGATATGTGGTTGCAGGTTCGATTCACATCATGCAATTTCTATGTGAAAAAAATCATGACTTTTAACGAGGCAATAATCAACTTTTGAAACAATTTAGTTGATACATACCAAAAATAAAACCTCACAGCTGGTCTTGTTTATGATTCAAAGTAAAACCTTAGGTCTTACATGAAAGAAATAAACCTCAAAGATCTTACTTGGAAGTAAAACCTCCCTATCTATATTCATATCTTGGTCCTGGCTTTCACTTGATTAGTACCCATGAAGATCCGGATAGAGAAGGTCTTCAGCAACCAATGCTTGCCGTAAAAGGTGACTGTGCTTGTCGTAAGCGGCAACTAATGGGATCGGGTGATCAGGCTAGCTGACTTGGTTGATGCATGTCATCTAATGCCGCCAATGATGTCAATCACTGGATTGTCTGGTCTGGACTCGATTATTTACAGACTGCCGTCATATAGCTTTATTATTGCCGAGTGCGGCGTTAAACAACAAACAAACACTGGATTGAATCAATGGGATGACGTCACTAGAAGTTAAATAGAGAAGGTCCAAGCACACCACACTTGTAAGAGGGGACAGATGAGGGTCAGGTTGTTCAAGGTCTATGAATGGCCTGGCTCAGAGTGTACTCACCACTTAGGGACTCGGGGGACTGACGGGATCGGGTTGTCAGGCTTGCTGCCAGACTTGATTATTTACAGACAGCCATCATAGAGCTGGAATATTGCTGGCGGTGTTAAACAACAAACAAACAAGCTTAGGGACTCCAGTACAGGGAGTTTTCTTAGGTTTCATGTTAAGTGCCCCTGGCAGGCAAATTGGGAAAATTCTTCAGTTTGCTCAAATATTTTTACAGTTCTTAATTTCAGATGTATTTTATCATGTTTAACATAGCATTCAATGCCATAATGTCATTAAGGCATCATCCTCTTTATCATCAGTGAACTACTGGTATCAGTGAAATCCAAGTCACTGCTTCAAAGATATAACATTAAGTTTTTAATTACAATGTAGGAATATTTGTGGAACTTTGGGGCCATATATCGGCTTCTAGACCAGGGTGCCGTTGTACAAAACAAGCTTAGCATACGACGACTGACATAAGTCTATGTTAAGGTATAGGAGTTACGATCACCTCAGAGCTAAGATTGCTTTGTACAATGGCACCCTGGTCTAGATAAGTCAGTGCCAGTAAGAACAGGCCCCGGTACTGTACTGTAGGTATCATGAAATATGTTTGGATATTATACGTACCAAATTTGATATTAGATTAAAATGAATTTGGAATTTTTAACAAGATATCTAAATGTTTTGATTTTGTGAAAAATTGAATGAATTTGTGATATCTAATTGTATTTTTTACTTAAAACAAATTTAAAAAGTGATGTCAGCAAAACATTTATGTTTATGATTATTATATCAATTATTCATTTTGTAATATCTAAAATATTCTTGTATTAAAATGCCAATGGCATATTTCCTAATGCAAGGTTCCCACAGGGAACACTTAGAAATGGTTGTGTAATACCTCGCAAAAATGTTAAAATTAGAATCAAGTGATGTATTAATGCAGAGCTAAGCGTGACAAACACATGGGAAACACTGGAACATGGTAGGGCTAGGACAGGTAACTCGGGCACTCGGGTCAGAGAGGTACTGAGAGGGACCCGGGTACCAACACCCGGACCCTGTGGTTAGTCACGTGATATATTGCTTAATGAAAGAAATTATCTGGAACTGTTTGGTTACACGACAAGTCACAAATGTTCGCATTTCTTTCTGACTATGCACCCATTCCTTCTGACTTTTATGTTTGAATATAGATAAAACTTCAGTCAACTTCCGTGTATGCATGACCAGATCGTTTTATACGTGTATCTAAGTACATTCTGTCTTGGGCTACGGTCAAACTATTCCCAATCAGACAATTTGTACCTATCTCTTGAGGCCTACAGCGAGTACACGATTAGGTTCGGGTAATAAGGGTCTGGGTACCCGGGTGGAAAATTTGGACTTGTCCCAGCCCTTGAACGTGGTCAATGAACAATGTGATAATAAACCAGACGATTTAAAAATAGAAACCTTTGTGTAAAAACTCTATTGCTCAAAAATCTGGAGCTCTGAATAACATATTATTATATTCTTCTTTTGTGTTTATACCCATAGGGGAATTCAAGTAAATACATGAATATAGGTCGTCTCAAGTTTTCCGCCTCCTTACCTTCGTCAGACACACTCTTTGGTACTTCATTACTCGAGATGCTTGTTCATGACCATGGGTCCGGGTAGTCCTGTGGATGTCCGTGTTGTTTTCAGGACCCGCCTGTCCCAAATACACTGGGAACACAGGATGAAACAATCTGTACATTTATTCAACGTATATATAAGTCTGCTGTGACACAACTGAGTATAGCACACACAGAGAGATACGATCCGTTCAGCCCTCCGTAACACGCCATACATCTCAACCATTACGCCAAAATTAATCCCCCACCCTACGTCACACCATTACATCAGTATCTCTAAGAATTTCTATACAAACACAACAAAGAATGTAACGAATGCAAGGACACAAACAAAACGTGAGCGTTCAACGAAACCGGAAGCTCTATTGTGTGGAACATGAAGGGTGATAACTCCGTCATGGGATAACATAAAAGCCACTGAAAAAAATGGTCAGAATATAACTTTACACTTGACCTCATTTCGGCAGCTTGTTTTAGATAGGTGCATCACTGTTACTCTCGGAGGAATAAAGTTTATATAAACCTGTGAAGTACTGGCAATGTTGGGAATCAAACCCAGAGTCTAAGCCATAACAAAGGAAGCACTAACCACAGTTCTACAACAAAGGTTTCCTCTGTGTTTTCAGGAAGCATCAAGCTTCAGATGCCACTCCTGGATGAACCACGGAGAGAGAAGTACCTCCTTCACGTCAGTGCATTTGACTTCGGGAACCCCTCCTTGTCCGCCGACACCACAGTGGCCATCAATGTCCCCCTCAACTTTGAGCCTAGGGTAGCCCCAAAGACAACATTCTCTGTTGAGGAAAATATCCCTGTTGGGTCAAACATTGGTCAAGTTGCAGCCACCGACAAGAACGTTGAACGGGGAGAAGATGACCACTTGAGATACTTCATTGATGAAGAGACTTTGGCAGGTCAAAACTAGAATTGAATCCTTCGGCTAACTAGTTTGATTTATTTATGTGAAAGTTATTTATGAGTTATGGGTAGTTTAATAAATTATTTGCATATCACACTCCTTTCAGTCAAATAACTGTCAGTATAAGCTATTTGCTTCATATAATATTGAGGTAGCATATGCGCTGCTTGCTGTTTCGGGTTATGATTATTTTAATCCAAAATTGACGTATTCATTCAAAAAACACCTTCATCCGCAGACTGAACATATATGATGCACCAGTATGTCAATGTTGCACCAAGTTCTTGCAAAATTGAGGCATTAACTGGTTCGACCCATGAAATCCGGGGTAGAATAGGTCTTCAGCAACCCATTCTTGCTGTAAAAAGGCGACTATGCTTGTCGTAAGAGGCGACTAACGGGATCGGGTGGTCAGACTCGCTTCTTGGTTAAGGCATGTCATTTAATCCAAATTGCGTTTATCGATGCTCATGATGTCAATCACTGGATTGTCTGGTCCAGATTCGATTATTTACAGACCACTGTCATATAGCTGGAATATTGCTGAGTGAGGCGTTAGGCAACAAATAAACAAACAAACAAACATTAACTTTTTCAGAATTAGTACCCTCAGATGCTACTAGTCAATGAGGATAACCCTTATTGGAGTTTTACTGGTCCTCGGCACAATCTAGTAGTCGCAGGCTAGCGGACTAGCAGGAATTTGGAAGACTAATCAGTACCTGACTTTCTCCCAACAGGTGCTGGTTTTCCGTTCAGCATAGATATTGACACCGGCATGATATCCACTAGAGCAGCTCTGGACAAGGAAACGGCCGATGGGTTCACTTTCCTTGTGTATGTGGTCGACTCCCTAGTTCCGGTGTACACATCCTCGAGTTCCGTGCACGTGGAGGTGCGGGACCAGAACGACAGTCCCCCCGAGTTCACCTCCCCCGAGTATGTGATGAAGGTCCTGGAAGATGATGCTGGGCACGTACAACAAACGCTGCAGATTGTAAGTTAGTGTAAACATTGTTACGCATGGCGTCTGAGCTGAGTGTCGCCTCAAGTCGCACGGTATGTTACAGACTGACGATATCACTGGTATCATGACTCCCCACAACAAGTGCTTGGAAATGATGAAATCTCTGAAATGCACTACTGGCTTGCGACCACTTTTCGACACATTTTTGTGTTATTTATGAAATATTCTGTGCAAAAAGTTGACTGTACCAATAACTTTGATTTTTTTAAACTGTGAGCAAATTCGCTTATTTCTGTCTGTGGAAAAAGTTGAGTAAATTCCTTCGTAACGCGACGAGAGGGAATCAAACCAGTGGAAATAGAACTTCCCATTGACGAACTGTACTGGTTAACGCCTTGTTTAGACAACATGCACACAGCTTCAGTTAAATGAATTACATTATTTTATCCATCAATATTAATAGCAACTGTTTTTTATCAATTTGTCGTCGACCAACTGACGTAAACCAATATTCCCAAAATTTGATCTGCACATGCTTACCCATAACACTATATCTGTACTATGGATATTCGCGATATGTACAGGTATTGCATTTTGGGAAAAAAAGTTAAATTAGAATTGGTGTAAAAATACCCAATAGAATTGACCCAAGGGAGTAAAAATATATTGACTACCCAAAGACAACTATTAATACGCAGTGTGAATGATGACCTGTGAATATATAGTAAATGACTCCAAATGTTATCTGATACCCTGCTGACCTGTTTGTACTTTTACAGTCTCCGTCAGTTGGCGTTACCGACATAGACACCGCCCTTGCAGACATACAGTTCAGCTTGATGGGGAATGGCAGTGACCTGTTTGTCATCGACCCGGACACAGGTCACATCGACCTGAAACACAGTGGCACCATGGACAGCGAGACACAGCAGCAGTATAACCTAACTGTAAGGAAACATGGAATTATGTCCCCTTTGGAGATTCTGGGTTGCACTAAGTCCAATTGCAACCTAGGCTGGACATAAGAAGCAAATTAATGGATCGGTTTGTCAGGCTTGGTCACTTGGTCACTTGGTCATTGTACCCACAAAGTGGTTTGTTGCTCATAATATCAGTCACTGGTTTGTCTGGTCCAGGCTCAATTATTTACAGACCATTGTCATACATAGATGGAATATTGCTGAGTTAGGCATTGGAACAAATGTCAAGACATGATGTCCGAGTGGTTTAAATTATGCATGAACGTCAAGCAGGCATGTCAGAAAGGACTGGTCTTTTTTTTATAGGGGCGGTGGGACTGCAACATATCGCAAATACATTTAATATTTTGTCATGGCCTCCCTCCCTATGATAAATGATCAGTCTCTAACTAATATTTAAATATATGATTTATTAAGGTACTCCCTAGATTCAAATTCTATTGTAGGTCTTGCTCAGGGATAACTTAAAACACTTTTATTTACTTCTAAAATACAGGGTTTGAAAATATTTTCATTGTTGGCAATAAGGACAGGTGTCATCAGAAAAATGATTGAGCCAACATGAATTTAGTGATTAACTAAACATCGGTTTCACATAAATTTCACACCTTTTAGTGGCAATAAATTTCATCAAATTCTCTGCTGTTATTATATTAAAGATAAGCCACACAAGGAAATTAATGTTGTTTTTTCTTTACAAGGCCATCTCGGTTTGTTATTACAAGTAATTCTGATTAACATTTAAGCTAAAAAAATATAATAGTCTTGGTTCTCAGGCACTGCCCGCATCATCATAAAGTCTGCCGCATGTTTTAATTTTATTTTTTTAAATCTTTAAATATTCCGCATGTCAAACACCAATCTCATTAAAATCAGACATTAGTTTTTGCTACCGCTAAACAAAGATCTGAAGACATCCCATTAGGGGTCACGTCAGAACGAACTTTCATCCGACCAATCAGAGCGTCGCTTACCAGATTATGAAAGTGACAGTCGGAATGTGATTTCTAATCATGCAACCCCGAAAACTTTAACATGGGGTAATCCGAACGATAGTTACCGGTTTAACGACTGAATCCTTACAATCTAGACCATCTACCCCGGTATTAGCCATTCCAGAATGTTTTTATTGTTCAGGTTTCAAATTTGTAATCGAGAATTTGTCAAAATATGTTTCGAAGCGTAGTCGCCAATTTGAAATTAGTGCCGTAAAGCACGAGAAAGCTGCCTTCTGATTGGTCATTCCATTGGTCAGTCAAAGTTCACGCAAGGTCGGTCTGACGTGACCCGTAATGGGATGTCCTCAGATCTTAGTTTAGCGATAGCGAGAAATAAGATCTGGTTTCAATGAGATTGGTCAAACACGAGCCCGGCAGTGAAATGCAACAATACTTAAGATCAACTTGATTTCGCCGAAAGTTTTGCTAACGAAATTTGGTTTAAAAAATCCCTGCCTGCCTGCACTATTTTTCAAAAACCATTATCTGAAAACCAATTCTTATATGTTTTTGGCCTTACTAATATTTGTCCAGTTGAGAACTATACTTATTGAAATACAGCTATAAAATGTTGTGATGTTTTAAGAAAGTGTCAAATATATAAAGATGCACATTCTTTCCACTTTGGATCACTGAAGTTCAGATTTTTTTAAAATCTTGGTTTACGAATCTACTGATTCCAAAACATTGAAATGTGAAAAAGTACCAAACACTGAAAAGCAGTGTGTGTTTTTACTCCAGGACCCATAAATAATTAAATAAAATGTGAGAAAACCCAACTCATGTACCTCCGCTATCAATATAGATAAGTTATTTATATTACTTAAATTAAACTGTTGATCTTTAGCCACAAACCAAAACAAATTACGATGAATCTCTATTCCTCCTGCCCTCACTATTTTCTTTTTTTTCCTAGTTTTTTCTTTTCATTTTTTCGACCTATCGACCTGAATATTTGGGCCCAAAATCCAAGTCAGGCCTAATGACACAAGTGTACCAGCTGCCCCTGTTATAGTCAATCATTAATATCACCTGTTCCCTGCTGCAGGTTGTGGCATCAGATGGAAGATTCTCCAGTGAAGCACCGTTAACAGTAATTGTAGAAGATGTCAACGATCACGCACCAGTATTCCAAGGGGAGATAACTCTGAATGTCAGCTCTCAGACACCTGTGGGGTCTGTGATTGGTCAAGTCAATGCCGCTGATGCTGATGTGACGGAGCAGAACAATGATGTGATGTATTACGTCATCAAAGGTGGACTGGATAAGTTTGCTGTTCATCCTGAATCAGGTACACTTTGCTCTTCTGCTTCTCCATGAGTGAGTGAGTGGGACTGAGTGAGTGAGTGAGTGATATGACAACATAACATGTCAGGACACTCCGCTTTTCTGCTTCTCGATGAGTGAGTGAGTGAGTGAGAGATGTAACACAACATAATGTAACATAGGTCAGGCAATGACTTTTGAAAATATAGTGCGAGTGGGCGTTGTTGTTTTTTTGGCTTGTTCAAACTAGTATGTAACCAAATAAACAGTTTTGTACCATCAATCTGGGAAAGGGCCTCCCAACATAAACAAGCATACAAACTCCTATTGCCGCCATGACCATAACACAAGATGTGCAGTAAGGCAGTGTCATGTAAAGGGAAGTAACTGTGCTATACTGGATCGCATTGTTTTTAAGTATTAGGATTTTTTGATTTTTTGAAAAATAGAAATGAAAACGAGACATGAGGCGGACTTAATGATGATGCGGATGGTGCCTGAGAACCAAATTATTATTTTATTTAGCCTAACCTGTCAGGGACCCCGAGAATGAGATCCACACATTGTACTTATGCAGTCTGTGACTCCTCTGAAGTTTGAATCTGATAAAAAATAGATTTTGTGCTACTATGATCAGCTGATACCAGCCCATCTATCAGGGTGTATACACACAGTTACTGAGAGTAACATCTACTGTTGATAACGCAAAGATACAAGTTTGGGTATACAGTTACTGAGAGTAACATCTACTGATGATAACGCAAAGATACAAGTTTGGGTATACAGTTACTGAGAGTAACATCTACTGATGATAACGCAAAGATACAAGTTTGGGCATACAGTTACTGAGAGTAACATCTACTGATGATAACGCAAAGATACAAGTTTGGGCATACAGTTACCGAGAGTAACATCTACTGATGATAACGCAGAGATACAAGTTTGGGTATACAGTTACTGAGAGTAACATCTACTGATGATAACGCAAAGATACAAGTTTGGGCATACAGTTACTGAGAGTAACATCTACTGATGATAACGCGAAGATACAAGTTTGGGTATACAGTTACTGAGAGTAACATCTACTGATGATAACGCGAAGATACAAGTTTGGGCTGGTAGACTCAAGGTTTTAGCACAGACTGTCTTGAGGGGAATCAAACCTGAATGTGACAAGGCAATGCTGTAGCCACTACCCTTCCCAATTGTCCTTGCCTACAGCTATTAGGGGTATGTATCATGGTCCAATGTTTTATAACATGAATCCTTTATGTAAGGCTTTAACTTCAGAACAAGGTTGAGCTTCACAGGAGTTCCAGTAGTTAGGAACAACAGATTATAGAATATAGATTATGTCCCTTTGTAGAGCCATGATCTTCTGATGATTTGCTGCAGTCCAAGATTTGCCCACACAGTGATCCTTGGTTTGTCAGCATTGTGTCACCTATGTAGCTTTGCTCTGATTTTGAGCAGATACATTATACAACTGATGTTGAAGCGGTATTAACAAAATTCACTCACTCAATCACTTGTATCTCAGTGAACTAGCACTATGAGACGGTCATTAGTTCTGACTAGTACAGGCACATGCATGGATATTGCTATATGAAGTCAATTATCTTGAATGCAATGTTACACGCCGTTTCACTTCATCTCACCTGGAATGTTGTTTATTCACTCACTCACTAACCTGTCTCCAATGCTTGCTGTAAAAGGCGACTATGCTTGTCGTAAGAGGCGACTAATGGGATAGGGTGGTCAGGCTCGTTGACTTGGTTGATGCATGTCATCGTATCCCAATTGCGTTGATTGATGCTCATGATATCAATCACTGGATTGTCTGGTCCAGATTCGATTATTTACAGACCTCTGTCATATAGCTTGAATATTGCTGAATGCAGCGTTAAACAACAAACAAACAAACAAACAAACTTGTCTCCCCGACAGGCGAGATCCAGGTTGTGTCATCCCTGATGGAGAACCCCCTCCAGGACTCCTACTCCCTGACAGTCCGAGCTGCGGACCTGGGACGACCCCAGAAGTACAGCGATACAACCGTCACCATCTACGTCCCCATCAACTACCAGCCACAGGTGCCCCCCGTCACGGAGCTACAGGTGGGGGAGGACCTCCCCCCGGGCAGCGTCGTGCACACGCTGCATGTACTGGACCCCAATGTGGATAGAGGAGACGGGGACAAGCTCAACTTCTTCATCAGTGAACACATGTCTCGAGGTATAGACAGCTATGAGAGAACATCAGTTGATGAATACTGATACAATTGGTAAATGATGTGGGCAGTGGGTTAAGATCAGTAGACAATGTGGATCTATCATCTCAGTTGGGAAGGAGTGTTCAATAATACATGTACTTATGAACAGCAGGACCTGTTGCCTTTACTCTTTTGCCAAACCTCTAGGACCCCAGAGGACATCTAAATTATGGTATGTAGGTGTTTTGTAAATTCTGCAGGCATTGGGGGAAATAGTTTAGGTATTTGGGGAAATATTGCAGGCATTTGGGGAAATATTGGAGACATTGGGGAAATATTGCAGGCACTGGGGGAAATATTTCAGGCATTTGGGGAAATATTGCAGGCATTTGGGGTAATATTGGAGACATTGGGGAAATATTGCAGGCATTTGGGGAAATACTTCAGTAACTAGGGAACATACTCCACCATGCAGCCCATTCTGGGCACCTTTCCACAACGTGATCTCAGCAACATGACTGTCTTACGTCCATGCATGACTAGTATGGGAGTTACGGTCATTGAGCCAAGATCGCTCTGTGGAACGGTACCCTGGTGTCCCCACTGTGACATTGCCTAAATATCTATGTGTTGTTATGCTTGCAGATATCCCCTTTGAGATCGACAGATACACAGGGGCTCTGAGGACCAAGGCTGTGCTGGATCGAGAAAGCACTGACAAGTACAGTTTCCTGGTTCATGTGACCGACAGCAAGCAGCCTGTGTACACGGCATCCACAACTGTACACCTCACCGTTACTGATGTCAACGACAACGTGCCCGTATTTGCAGCCAACAGCTATAATGCTAAAGTCATTGAGGATGATGCCACACCAGGCAAAGCACAGGTGGTGTATCTGGTATGTATTGACAGTTCTACGTGCGGCTGTGTTTATGTCATATCTTTTTAGCTTTGACTTTTTGCATGTCAAAAGCATGAGCAGGCTGTACGTCATCAGAGTATAATCATGAACATTCAAGGGATGTTTCAGTCCATCGTCCCGAGGCAAGGGAATTAACTGACTGTAAATGTCCAGCTTCCATCCTTGCCGAACTAGGCTGGAGTTTCTTGGCTTGATCGTTGTGCCACCAGTGGCTATTATGAGTTAGACCCCTTTCATTGACAGATTCCACCTCTCATATCACTTGCATTTGTTTTTAAAAAATGGCGGCACCCAGTCAAGACGATCTGATAGATAATCATCTATAGTGTAATACAACAGCTTTTACTTCGTGAAGCACATCAAATCACGTGAGCACCTTGATTAGACACATGGATGGATTTCGAAAATATCTGTTGACACCAAGTTGGCGGTACGCATGTTTTGCAAGTCCTACAATTGACTGAAATCTGCACAGCTGTTGACGAACCGGATGTCGATTTCAGTATGCGATTCTGATTGAACTATGCATAAACTTGTTAGTCCAGCCTAAAAATAACTCCATAATTCCAACCTAGTTCGGCAAGGGTGAATAGTGGAATTTTATAGTTAGTTAACTCCCTAAGATGGTTGTTGTCTAGAGCTGCACATCACAACAAAATGGGGAATCTTATGACTAAATGAGCTGTTGTTTTAAGGATCATAATAAATATACATCTACCAAAATGGTCATGAAAGAATACACAAATATGTGTTATTTCCAGTGTTACATGCTCACTGGATCACTGTATTAAGCACACTCCCCTCTACACGGCTGTGTTTTTAGGAAAAAAGTAATCCAATCTCACAGAATCCTTGCTCCTGCTTCAGAGGCCTCCACTGAAGGTGACAGATGAGGACAGTTCGAGTGACCAGTTTGTGTACAGGCTGCAGGGAACAGGGAGCGAGCTCTTCTCCATAGATGCCAGCAGTGGACAGATCACTCAGAGGGAGGCGGGGAGTCTGGATGGGGACAGCACCTCCCTCTATAATCTCACAGTCAGTAGACACACTTTGTTGTGTGATAACACTTGTATTGAAACGTCACAGTGTTTGACATAATTAAAACCCAACAAGACAGTCGGGCAGGTGACCCATAAATGTTGCATACCCATCTTCAAAGTTACCTGCCCGCATTCAGACATTATAAATATTAAACAATCGGGAAAGATTTGAGACTAATCACGTGCACAAGTGTTTGTGTGTGTTAATCATGACAGTTTTATGGTGCCAGCCCACTGAGATACCATTATGACCGTGAAGATCCGGGGTAGAATAGGTCTTCAGCAACCCATGCTTGCATTAAAAGGCAACTGTGCTTGTCGTAAGAGGTGACTAATGGGATTGGGTGGTCAGGCTTGCTCTCTTGGATAATTGTGGCATCATAACCCAATTGGGTTGATCGGTGCTCATGATGTCAATCACTGGATTGTCTGGTCCAGACTCGATTATTTACAGAGCGCCATCATATAGCTGGAATATTGCTGAGTGCGGTGTTAAACAACAAATAAACAAACAAACAGAGATACCATTACACTGTTTAACATGGATGCCCCAGCGTACTGACTCCAATTTGACCAATCCTTGTTTTTATCCTTGTGGACCCATTATTGCCTTGGGACCCCATGAGGACCACCTGTGATAACACGAGTGGGAGAAACTGATTGATATTTTACCAAGTCATTGACATATTAGTCGATGATCAAATCAATCACTAGAACTTTGTCAGTACTGGAAACCATATAGCTGTGTGGTATCGTCATTCCTTCCATTGTTACAGGTGTCTGTAGATGACGGTCGCTATGTCAGCAATGTCTCACTGTTGGTGTCTGTGGAGGATGTGAACGACCACGCCCCTGTGATGCTGGGGGGGAAGAGAGTGGAGGTTGACCCTCTGTCCCTCCCGGGGGATGTGGCAGCCGTGATGAAGGCAGAGGACTTGGACCAATCAGACAGGAACAAGAGAGTCTCGTACTACCTCATGGCTGGAGGCATGGACAGGTTCAGGATAGAGGAGAATACAGGTAATGATCATCTCCAGATGGGTGTGATTTGTGAAAAACATACCAAACTCTCTTTCAAGGAATCGGGACACCAGTTCGACATCTAATGTAAAAAGGTGACAAGAAAATTCAAATAGAACCTAAATCCAATAGAATTTTGAAAAACCATTGTATATTCTTGAACAATTGGACACAAATCCTGCCCTTGGAATCAGGTCTGAAAGGAGTGAGTGAGTTTGGTTTAACGCCGCTTTTAACAGTATTCCAGTTATATCCCGGCGAGTCAGCTTAATGTGGGAGGAAAGCCCGAAGTGATGCAGGTCACAGACATTTACCACTTCAGTGAAACCCATGAGCACGAGTATGGTGCTGACAAACCTAGAAACATAATCGGGGCGAACCGGGAGTCGAACCCACAATCATTGGTTTCTGGCATGCCCAAAGGACGCAACTCTGCACAGCAAATCGCGGCGCCTTAGACGACTGGGACACCCGTGCCCCCAGGTCTGAAAGGAAGTACAGTTGAAAGAGATACATGTTTCCTGCTTGTCTTGTGTTTTGTGTGAATCATCTTTCATCCATACTTTCATCCCTACTTTCAGGGGAGATAACTGTTGCCAGCTCTCTGACTGAGGGAAGGCTACAGGACCAGTATGACCTTGAGATCCGTGTTGTTGATCACGGCTACCCCCAGCAGTCCACAGACTTCACCCTCACCCTGGATGTCCCAGTCAATTTCCCCCCCAGGCTGAGTGACGGCTACAGCTTCAGGCTGCAGGAGAATGTCCCGGTGGGGACGGCTGCCGGGCATGTGGTGGCCACGGACAGGAATGTAGACAAGGGGGAAGACGAACAACTCAGCTACTTCATGGGTGAGACAGGTCAGTGAATGTTGTCAGCAGAAATTGGATGTACAGTGAGTTGGTTGAAGAGTTATGTCCCTTTATTTTACCGTACCTGACTGAAAAAGTGAGTTCATGTTGTGGTCTGTTGTCCATTGTCTGTTGTGCATGTTCCGTCGTTCATTAACATCTTCTCATAAACCAATGGACCGATGGACCACATGCATCATCACACATCAATTTGTTTTCAGAATGTTCAAATCTGATTTTTAATAATGTCACAATGTGCCTGTGTAACTGAATCTTCTGTATGTACCAGGTACCAGTACGGTGGGGTACAGTTTGTATAGTTTATCTTTTGTTTTACCAGTTACAGTAAAGCAGGCTGAATCTTTGTTTTAAATAACTAAACTTAAGTTATTTGCAAACACTGAGAACATTTTGAGAGTCAGTTAACCCTTAGCCTGTCTGACAGGCCCTGAACCATATTATGTTCCCTTCCACCAGCCCTTACAGTATATATATAGCGCTAAATGAAGCAAGTCTAGATGGTCTTCAGGTTCTGAATCTCGCATCTCCCAGGGCTCTTTTTCAATTTAAATGTAACTGCTAGTTTCTATCAATATTACATATTTTCAATCTAGTTAACCCTTGGCAGGAAAACCTGACTTGCAGGAAAACCTGACTTGCAGGAAAACCTGACTGCAGGTCTTATCTTTATCCAGTCTAGTCTATCACAAAGATCCTGAAGCAAACAGTCTTGATTTCTTGCTTTTTGGTAAGGAGACTAAATGTAAGTGTAAGTAGAGTCTATGTAAAAATGGATCTATTCTTAAAAATGTCCCCAGAATCACCCAGCCTGCCCTTCGCCATTGAGCGAGACACAGGTCAGCTCCTGACAACGTCCACCATTGACCGAGAACAACACAGCGAGTACAAGTTCTCTGTGATCGTCACCGACAGTCGCAGCCCTGTCTACACATCTTCGTCAACGGTCACCGTGGCTATAGACGATGAGAATGACAATGCTCCGGTGTTTAATGCTCAGCAGTATGGCGTCAGCTTCCCTGAAGACAGGGACTTTACCGATGACAGAGAGTTAATTCTGGTAGGAGTCTGCTTAAACATTTTGATGGAAATGTGAAAATTTGAAAATGTGACATTTCGTTTTGTGCCCACATTATTTTTCCTATGTGGACAACTGTGTCCATTGGGACAATAGCTTCCAAATTTACATATGTATGTTTACATTATACAAATTGGAATTATGACGATTTGTTGGTAGTCTCTTTTAGTTCCTCACCATGACTTCCTTTAACACTACTGATGTATCATGGATGTAAACAGTGTCAATTCTAAAACAGCCACACTTTGACAGTATTCAGAAACATAGGCCTCAGTTTATTTTGCCTGTAAAAGAAGAGACTGGAAAATTCCAGAGCACTCCCCTGAGACCTATGTTTCTGAATACTGTCAAAGTGTGGCTGTTTTATATTTGACACTGTTTACGACCATGAACTACAGTAGTGTTAATGTGCACTATTTGGAAATGTACAATAGAGAGTGACAGGGTGGCATGATGAGGAATTACAAAAGACTGCGAACAAATGGTCATAATTCCAATTTGTATACCGGTAATGTAAATATACACATGTAAATTCAGAAGCTATTGTCCCAATGGACACAGCTGCCCACACTGGAAAAATAATGTGGACACATGATGACACAAAACGAAATGTCACAATTCTTAGGAAACTTCTACCCCTATTACATATCTGCCATAAATTGAGAAAGCCAACATTGTTCCCGAGTGTGGCCATGAAGGTCTTGCTGTGTTGTAGTTGCCCAAGATGTCTGTACAAGACCCTGATGGCGGGTCTGACCAGCTGCAGTTCAGACTGGAGGGAACTGGCAGCGACCGGTTTCAGATGAACTCCCTGACCGGGGCCATTGCAGTTAGAAAGGAGGCTGTCTTTGATACAGAGCAGAGGCCGTACTACAACTTGACGGTGAGACCATTGGAAACAAAAATAACTTTTATTCCAACCTTTAAATGTGAGTGCACTCTTGTTTAAGCATTCAGAGCCAATGAAGTTACTGTTTGTTTGTTTGTTTGTTATTTAATGCCACGCTCAGCAATGTTCGAGATATATGACGTCAGTCTGTAAATAACTGAGTGTGGACCAGCAACTTTTATTCCAACCTTTAAATGTGAGTGCACTCTTGTTTAAGCATTCAGAGCCAATGAAGTTACTGTTTGTTTGTTTGTTTGTTATTTAATGCCACGCTCAGCAATGTTCGAGATATATGACGTCAGTCTGTAAATAACTGAGTGTGGACTCACTCACTCACTCACTCACTCACTCAAACTCACTCTCACTCACTCACTCGAACCAGAATTTCCCTTACACCAAAGTTCTATAGACAAGATTTATGTGACTAGTTGTGATGAAAGAAATTGAATAATGTTGTTTTCCAATAACATAGGTTGTGGTGAGTGACGGCTTACACTCCTCTGCAGCAATACTTGACATCAACGTGGATGACATCAACGACAACGCCCCTGAGTTCAGCTACAACACAACAATCTACCTAGACCCCTTTGCACCACTGGGGAGTCATGCTGGGGACGCCTCTGCTGTGGACGGCGACGTCACGGACCCCAACAGTGTCGTTCACTACCATCTGCTGGGAGGTGGGCTGGACAAGTTCACAATACATGAAGAAACAGGTGGGTTGATGGCACAGAGTTATTGAGGCATGATTTAATATCTTTTAAACCCCTTACACCATGTGGAGAATCGAGGTTGGTCTGAATAGGCTTTGGGACAGACCATTAAATAGTTTTATAATATATATTTTGTTAGTTCTGTGAAAGGAGTGGCAAAACATTGGAGGAGGAGGGGGGGTGGGTTATGTGGTTATTATTACCGTTTTGCTCTAATAAGTGCCCGCGGCGATATTTGCTAATTATATTGGGTAGTGAACAATCTCAATTAGCACCCCTTCCGATTGATCAATGTAAGACTTATTTATTCGTGTATAATACGCACACGTGTGTTATATGCATCCATAATTATGGGCAATTAAATCCTGGAAAAATATATCTGTCGTATATAAACATTTCAGGCTGTCAGCATAAACCACGAAATTTACGATCTTTCAACTTTTTTTTCAAAGTATTATTTTAATAAGAGCCCCCTATTTCTAATTTTGAGAGCGCCCTGGGCGCTTATTACGTCGAATACAGTATGTGTTTTAATTTGAAGTTTACACAATATGCAGAGGTCGGTCACACGACCGCGAAATTGATGTTCATAAGTGTATGAACGAAACAATTTGATGTTCATATATTTTTCACAAGAACGTTTTCTTAAAATGACGACGGAGTACTTCCACATTCCTGGAGGAACCTCAGGGAGTTCCCTAGAACAAATACAGAAGCGTTGTTTCTAATCATTTCGGCCCTTTAATCTTGAACTTAGCATTTCAGCATATATTATAAGTCAGAGAGTTTGGTTGTATGTCCAAAGATATCCTCGCTACAATCCATCCTAGAGAACAAAATGAAGAAAAGCACATCCAAACTACAGTAGTATCGACTCGATCCGTGTCCAGACTACAGTGACAGTCTATAGCAATTATAAATGTACCTTAGTATCTATTTGACACATCTTTAAAATCACCTTTCAATGATCGGCCAATTGATCAGTGATGACTAACACTTGTAATTAAGCCACAGGTTCTTAAAAAACTTCGGAAATCTCTCCCGTAACGTTTATCGTGTCAGTCATTTCGATGTCTTGTACTTGGTGTAAATGTATAATGACGTACTGTCATTGTGACTGAGTTACTGAGGAAGTTCTTAACAGACCTTTTTCATCTAATGAGGAAATTATTTGAGTACATATCATTGTACAAAAACTACAAAAGTTGTTCCTGTTGAGCATGTTGGGCATATGTAAGCTCATGTCACCTCTCGTTTTGAGGAAATAGTTTATTCCATGATACAGCTGGTTGTGGTATGTCTGTCAGTGTAAACATGAAGTAACACATACTAAATGTAATTGTGTATAGATCAAGGTCTACGTCCTTTGAGGTAAAAATAGTGATGTAAAAAATGATAAGAATTTGCGTGACGTTCATAGAGTGTGGCCCTCACTTTATGAAGGTTCTTACTCCAATGAACTCACACAAAGTGAAGGTCAGTTCTTAATTAACATTGTGACAAACTTTTTGGTGTATTTTCTTTGGTTCATTGAGGTATGAATCGAAAAAACAAAGTGCAAACTGTATGAATCCGTGTTGCGGATTCTTACAAAAGTTTGCACATCGGTTTTTCGACAACGAAAACATGTTTTATCTACTAATGGTTTAACCAAAACAGTTAAACCAAAAACAGTTGTATATAACAAAGCAGACAAAAATGACGTGATTGATATACATACTGTGGCATGACATGAATCGGGTGATTGTTTAATTGATGCACATAACTTGACATGCCTACAAAGTCAGTAGCCAATCAACGGAGAGTATGATAAAAACAAAGTACATTGGACCTGTCAATCAAGCTAAGAGGTGAGAAGAACTGCAACAGTCAGACTGTAACGAACCGGAACAAATATGTTCGGGAGAAGGTGGCTGTTGTCAAATGACATGGTCAGTTACCACCAGATTCAAACATTAGTTTTCTGAGAATGGGAAGACACAGTTGGAAAAATGCTACTTAGAAATGAAACCCGAAGACCTGAAAGTTGTGTAACCGAGGCGAGCGAGCCTGTACGTTTGCTGTTTTATTCCTTCTCGGCCTTCGGTCTCAAAGAGTTGTTTGGACAATGAATATGCATGAATTTCACTTAATGTCCTGTGCATGACAATACACGTGAACAGAAAGGGAATTCCCTCAACTATAATATTGGGATTCTCGTAGTGATAAAAGTAGTCCGCCTCGATGGGCGTGGCTTAATATTTTACATTCATTGGGAAGTGAATGCAATAACACATGACCAAGTCAGCTAATCAGAATGCAGGAATTTCAATGAACACAACAAAAATTTAATTATAGTGCAATGATGTAAACCATAAGCACTAAAGCCTCCTCCTCTTTATTGGCCCTGACAGAAATACAAAGCCTTTGCATAAGTTAATTATAACTAAAATAACTCTTTTGTGAACATTTTTATTTTAATTGTTTTTTTCTGACAATTGCAGCAGATATGATGCTGATTATCAGCTTTTTAAGGATGTTGAGATAAATGGCAGGACTGTGCTCTGGACTTAAGCAGTCAGGTGGTCTGACTGAGTGACTTGGTTGATAGCGGGTCATTGTACCCTGACTGGGTGACTTGGTTGATAGCGGGTCATTGTACCCTGACTGGGTGACTTGGTTGATAGCGGGTCATTGTACCCTGACTGGGTGACTTGGTTGATAGCGGGTCATTGTACCCTGACTGGGTGACTTGGTTGATAGCGGGTCATTGTACCCTGACTGGGTGACTTGGTTGATAGCGGGTCATTGTACCCTGACTGGGTGACTTGGTTGATAGCGGGTCATTGTACCCTGACTAGGTGGATCATTGCTCAGATTATCAATCACTGGATCGTCTTGTCCAAACTTGATTATTGTCAGACTGCTGTGTGATTATTGTTGTAATATTCCTGAATGCAGCATAAAACAACAAAGAATTAAACCCTGCACTGTGTCGTAAACTAACACTCACTCTACCGCCCACTCACTCACTCACTCAATCACTAATATCCACCCGCCTACACAATTGCCCTCCCACACAAAGACCCACACACTCACTGATTCACACGATCACTAATAACCACCCACCCACCCATGTATGAGCGCACTCTCTCACATGCTCACGAATAACCACCTACCCACCTACCCACCTACCCACTCTCACACCCACCCACCCACTCTCACACCCACCCATGTATGAGCGCACTCTCTCACATGCTCACGAATAACCACCTACGTACTCTCACACCCACCAATGTATGAGCGCACTCTCTCACATGCTCACGAATAACCACCTACGTACTCTCACACCCACCAATGTATGAGCGCACTCTCTCACATGCTCACGAATAACCACCTACGTACTCTCACACCCACCAATGTATGAGCGCACTCTCTCACATGCTCACGAATAACCACCTACGTACTCTCACACCCACCAATGTATGAGCGCACTCTCTCACATGCTCACGAATAACCACCTACGTACTCTCACACCCACCAATGTATGAGCGCACTCTCTCACATGCTCACGAATAACCACCTACGTACTCTCACACCCACCAATGTATGAGCGCACTCTCTCACATGCTCACGAATAACCACCTACGTACTCTCACACCCACCAATGTATGAGCGCACTCTCTCACATGCTCACGAATAACCACCTACGTACTCTCACACCCACCAATGTATGAGCGCACTCTCTCACATGCTCACGAATAACCACCTACGTACTCTCACACCCACCAATGTATGAGCGCACTCTCTCACATGCTCACGAATAACCACCTACGTACTCTCACACCCACCAATGTATGAGCGCACTCTCTCACATGCTCACGAATAACCACCTACGTACTCTCACACCCACCAATGTATGAGCGCACTCTCTCACATGCTCACGAATAACCACCTACGTACTCTCACACCCACCAATGTATGAGCGCACTTACTCACTCGCTCAATCACTAATACCCACTCACACTGCCACTAGTTCACTGACCCATGAAGATACAGGTAGAATAGGCCTTCAGCAACCCATGCTTGCCGTAAAAGGCAACTTTGCTTGTCGTAAGAGGCGACTAACGGGATCAGGTGGTCAGGCTGGCTGACTTGGTTGAAGCATGTCATCGTGTCCCAATGTTGGCATTGATGATCATGACGTAATTCACTTGATTGTCTGGTCCATTCTCGATTATTTAGAGACCATCATCATAAAAGTGGAATACTGCTGAGTGCAGCGTTAAACAACAAACAAACAAAAGGATTAATTCACTCACTCACTCGCTAATTCACTCACTCACTTACCACCAACAGGTCAGCTGACACTAGTGTCGTCTCTGATGGAGGACCCAAAGCGCAGCGAGTACAATGTTAAAGTACTGGCATTTGACATGGGGACCCCCCAACGGAGGACCAATGGCGTGTTCAAGATTAGGGTTCCTGTCAACTACCAGCCTCACTTTGAATCCCTGTACAGACTCAATGTCAAGGAGAACGTCACCGTGGGGTCAGAGTTCGGGCAGGTCAAGGCAACTGACAAGAACATAGAACTGGGCGAGGATGAAAGGCTGAATTATTTCATCGACGAGAAGAGTACTCAAGGTACATGTAGTCTTGCACTGCTAGCACTATGCTTTTCCTTATGACCACCTCCACAGTCTAATGGTAGAGCATCTGCTTTGCGCAGAAGGTTCGGGGTATGATCCCTGGCCTCGTCATACCAAAAGACGTTAAAACATGGTACTTGTTGTTACCCTGCCTGGCACTCAGTATTATGGGGCTAAAATAAGGACTGCTCAGGTCGGAGTCAGCATACTGTGTCTGAGAGGGGTATTCATTTTAAATTTGTGGCTAGCACTAGAAAATGGGCATTAGCCCAGACTGGTACAAGCAGCCATGCACACACATGTGCATGCACATTGCTATATAAAAGCAATAATCTTGGACGCGACGGCCCAAAGATGACATCACCACCTGTTTTTCCTAACAAGCTTGTGTAAACTGTATCAATAACCTATGAAGGTCATGCACTTTTGCTGTAGAAATGTTTTTCATCATTAATATACTGAACACTCTGAAAACGCATGTTAGATTTTTTGTAACATTTGGCAAAATGGCCACAGATCGAGATCAAATTAACTTCTGTTTATTTAGACATGAGATATTCAAACACAACAATGCTGTTGTTTGGGTATGAATCTCATTCAATGTGTTTGGAGATTGACTTGACAAGAACACATCGGATTTCCAGTTAAAGGATGTTATGTGTTCTCATTGTGTGTTGGTACAGCTACTGTCGGGGTTGAGGGGTCAGAGAAAAATCTCCCAACCACCTGATCCAGTTGTTTGTTTGTTGTTAATGTCATACTCAGCAATATTCAGCTATATGACAGCGGTCTGTAAATAATCAAGCCTGGACCAGACAATCCAGTGACTGATATCATGAGCATCAATCTGCACAATTGGGATATGATGACATGCATCAACCAAGTCAGCGAGTCAGTTGCGTGGATCGATGCTCATGATGTCAATCACTGGATTGTCTGGTCCAGACTCAGTTATTTATAGATCAACATCATATACCTGGAATATTGCTGAGTGCAGCGGTAAACAAACTAAGAAATAAACAAAAGACAAATAAACCTAAATTTCTTCAAGAAGAAGAATCTGATTTTCAAAATCGCAACAAAGGCTGCAGTATTGATCAGACATGGCCATTATTCCACCATCTTGTTGTTTTAAATATATTGTTAAGTGAAAGTCTTTGTTGACATTTTATAATGATGACTACATATCCAGGTGAATACAGCCCTCTGGTGCTGTTGTTCATGGGTAATGTCATGCAATGTAATGAATGTCAATCCAGGTGTTGACTTCCCCTTCTACATGAACCGACAGTCTGGTCAGCTGGTCATCTCCTGTGTGCTGGACCGAGAGAAGAAAGACAAGTATGACTTCATGGTGTATGCCACCGACTCCAAGCTGCCTGTGTACACGGCATCAACGCTGGTGGAAGTCACCATTGACGACATCAACGACAATCCCCCACAGTTCGGTGCTGCAGCGTACACTGCTCTCATCCAGGAGGATGACGCCAACCCAGGAACTCAACAAACACTCTCTGTGGTAGGGCACAGTCACTTTTTGTGTTAGGGCACAATCACTGTCTCTGATAGGGCACAGTCACTCTCTGGTAGGGAACAGTCACTCTCTGTGGTAGGGCACAGTCACTCTCTGTGGTAGGGCACAGTCACTCTCTGGTAGGGAACAGTCACTCTCTGTGGTAGGGCACAGTCACTCTGTGGTAGGGCACAATCACTCTGTGGTAGGGAACAGTCACTCTCTGTGGTAGGGAACAGTCACTCTGTGGTAGGGCACACTCACTCTGTGGTAGGGCACAGTCACTCTCTGGTAGGGAACAGTCACTCTCTGGTAGGGCACAGTCACTCTGTGTGGTAGGGCACAGTCACTCTCTGTGGTAGGGCACAGTCACTCTGTGGTAGGGCACAATCACTCTGTGGTAGGGCACAGTCACTCTGTGGTAGGGCACAGTCACTCTCTGTGGTAGGGCACAGTCACTCTCTGTGGTAGGGCACAGTCACTCTCTGGTAGGGAACAGTCACTCTCTGTGGTAGGGCACAGTCACTCTGTGGTAGGGCACAATCACTCTGTGGTAGGGAACAGTCACTCTCTGTGGTAGGGAACAGTCACTCTGTGGTAGGGCACACTCACTCTGTGGTAGGGCACAGTCACTCTCTGGTAGGGAACAGTCACTCTCTGGTAGGGCACAGTCACTCTGTGTGGTAGGGCACAGTCACTCTCTGTGGTAGGGCACAGTCACTCTGTGGTAGGGCACAATCACTCTGTGGTAGGGCACAGTCACTCTGTGGTAGGGCACAGTCACTCTCTGTGGTAGGGCACAGTCACTCTCTGTGGTAGGGCACAGTCACTCTCTGTGGTAGGGCACAGTCACTCTCTGGTAGGGCACAGTCACTCTGTGGTAGGGCACAATCACTCTCTGGTAGGGCACAATCACTCTGTGGTAGGGCACAATCACTCTGTGGTAGGGCACAGTCACTCTCTGTGGTAGGGCACAATCACTCTCTGGTAGGGCACAATCACTCTGTGGTAGGGCACAGTCACTCTCTGTGGTAGGGCACAGTCACTCTGTGGTAGGGCACAATCACTCTCTGGTAGGGCACAGTCACTCTCTGGTAGGGCACAATCACTCTGTGGTAGGGCACAGTCACTCTCTGTGGTAGGGCACAGTCACTCTCTATTAGGGCACAATCACTCTGTGGTAGGGCACAATCACTCTGTGGTAGGGAACAGTCACTCTCTGGTAGGGCACAATCACTCTGTGGTAGGGCACAGTCACTCTCTGGTAGGGCACAATCACTCTGTGGTAGGGCACAGTCACTCTCTGGTAGGGCACAATCACTCTGTGGTAGGGCACAGTCACTCTCTGTGGTAGGGCACAGTCACTCTCTGTGGTAGGGCACAGTCACTCTCTGGTAGGGAACAGTCACTCTCTGGTAGGGCACAATCACTCTGTGGTAGGGCACAGTCACTCTGTGTGGTAGGGCACAGTCACTCTCTGTGGTAGGGCACAATCACTCTGTGGTAGGGCACAGTCACTCTGTGGTAGGGCACAGTCACTCTCTGGTAGGGCACAATCACTCTGTGGTAGGGAACAGTCACTCTCTCTGGTAGGGCACAGTCACTCTGTGGTAGGGCACAGTCACTCTGTGGTAGGGCACAGTCACTCTCTGGTAGGGCACAATCACTCTGTGGTAGGGCACAATCACTCTGTGGTAGGGCACAGTCACTCTCTGGTAGGGCACAGTCACTCTATCTGGTAGGGCACAGTCACTCTCTCTGGTAGGGCACAATCACTCTGTGGTAGGGCACAATCACTCTGTGGTAGGGCACAATCACTCTGTGGTAGGGAACAGTCACTCTCTGGTAGGGAACAGTCACTCTGTGGTAGGGAACAGTCACTCTCTGGTAGGGCACAGTCACTCTCTGGTAGGGAACAGTCACTCTCTGGTAGGGCACAGTCACTCTCTGGTAGGGCACAATCACTCTGTGGTAGGGCACAGTCACTCTCTGGTAGGGCACAATCACTCTGTGGTAGGGCACAGTCACTCTCTGTGGTAGGGCACAGTCACTCTCTGGTAGGGCACAGTCACTCTCTGTGGTAGGGCACAGTCACTCTGTGGTAGGGAACAGTCACTCTCTGGTAGGGAACAGTCACTCTCTGGTAGGGCACAATCACTCTGTGGTAGGGCACAGTCACTCTCTGTGGTAGGGCACAGTCACTCTCTGGTAGGGCACAATCACTCTGTGGTAGGGAACAGTCACTCTCTGGTAGGGCACAATCACTCTGTGGTAGGGCACAGTCACTCTCTGTGGTAGGGCACAGTCACTCTCTGGTAGGGCACAATCACTCTGTGGTAGGGAACAGTCACTCTCTGGTAGGGAACAGTCACTCTCTGGTAGGGCACAATCACTCTGTGGTAGGGCACAGTCACTCTCTGGTAGGGAACAGTCACTCTCTGGTAGGGCACAATCACTCTGTGGTAGGGCACAGTCACTCTCTGGTAGGGCACAATCACTCTGTGGTAGGGCACAATCACTCTGTGGTAGGGCACAATCACTCTGTGGTAGGGAACAGTCACTCTCTGGTAGGGCACAATCACTCTGTGGTAGGGCACAGTCACTCTGTGGTAGGGAACAGTCACTCTCTGGTAGGGCACAATCACTCTGTGGTAGGGAACAGTCACTCTCTGGTAGGGAACAGTCACTCTCTGGTAGGGCACAATCACTCTGTAGTAGGGCACAATCACTCTGTGGTAGGGCACAGTCACTCTCTGGTAGGGCACAATCACTCTCTGGTAGGGCACAGTCACTCTCTGGTAGGGCACAATCACACTGTGGTAGGGCACAGTCCATCTCTGTGGTAGGGCACAGTCACTCTCTGGTAGGGCACAGTCACTCTCTGTGGTAGGGCACAGTCACTCTCTGGTAGGGAACAGTCACTCTCTGTGGTAGGGCACAGTCACTCTCTGTGGTAGGGCACAGTCACTCTCTGGTAGGGCACAATCACTCTGTGGTAGGGAACAGTCACTCTCTGGTAGGGCACAATCACTCTGTGGTAGGGCACAGTCACTCTCTGGTAGGGCACAATCACTCTGTGGTAGGGCACAGTCACTCTGTGGTAGGGCACAGTCACTCTCTGTGGTAGGGCACAATCACTCTGTGGTAGGGCACAGTCACTCTCTGTGGTAGGGCACAATCACTCTGTGGTAGGGCACAGTCACTCTCTGGTAGGGCACAATCACTCTGTGGTAGGGCACAGTCACTCTCTGTGGTAGGGCACAGTCACTCTCTGGTAGGGCACAATCACTCTGTGGTAGGGAACAGTCACTCTCTGGTAGGGCACAGTCACTCTCTGGTAGGGCACAATCACTCTGTGGTAGGGCACAATCACTCTGTGGTAGGGAACAGTCACTCTCTGGTAGGGCACAATCACTCTGTGGTAGGGCACAGTCACTCTCTCGTAGTGCACAATCACTCTGTGGTAGGGCACAGTCACTCTCTGTGGTAGGGCACAGTCACTCTCTGTGGTAGGGCACAGTCACTCTCTGGTAGGGAACAGTCACTCTCTGGTAGGGCACAATCACTCTGTGGTAGGGCACAGTCACTCTGTGTGGTAGGGCACAGTCACTCTCTGTGGTAGGGCACAATCACTCTGTGGTAGGGCACAGTCACTCTGTGGTAGGGCACAGTCACTCTCTGGTAGGGCACAATCACTCTGTGGTAGGGCACAGTCACTCTCTGGTAGGGCACAATCACTCTGTGGTAGGGCACAATCACTCTGTGGTAGGGCACAATCACTCTGTGGTAGGGCACAGTCACTCTGTGGTAGGGCACAGTCACTCTGTGGTAGGGCACAGTCACTCTCTGGTAGGGCACAATCACTCTGTGGTAGGGCACAATCACTCTGTGGTAGGGCACAGTCACTCTGTGGTAGGGCACAGTCACTCTCTCTGGTAGGGCACAGTCACTCTCTCTGGTAGGGCACAATCACTCTGTGGTAGGGCACAATCACTCTGTGGTAGGGCACAATTACTCTGTGGTAGGGAACAGTCACTCTCTGGTAGGGAACAGTCACTCTGTGGTAGGGAACAGTCACTCTCTGGTAGGGCACAGTCACTCTCTGGTAGGGAACAGTCACTCTCTGGTAGGGCACAGTCACTCTGTGGTAGGGCACAATCACTCTATGGTAGGGCACAGTCACTCTCTGGTAGGGCACAATCACTCTGTGGTAGGGCACAGTCACTCTCTGTGGTAGGACACAGTCACTCTCTGGTAGGGCACAGTCACTCTCTGTGGTAGGGAACAGTCACTCTCTGGTAGGGAACAGTCACTCTCTGGTAGGGCACAATCACTCTGTGGTAGGGCACAGTCACTCTCTGTGGTAGGGCACAGTCACTCTCTGGTAGGGCACAATCACTCTGTGGTAGGGAACAGTCACTCTCTGGTAGGGCACAATCACTCTGTGGTAGGGCACAGTCACTCTCTGTGGTAGGGCACAGTCACTCTCTGGTAGGGCACAATCACTCTGTGGTAGGGAACAGTCACTCTCTGGTAGGGAACAGTCACTCTCTGGTAGGGCACAATCACTCTGTGGTAGGGCACAGTTACTCTGTGGTAGGGAACAGTCACTCTCTGGTAGGGCACAATCACTCTGTGGTAGGGCACAGTCACTCTCTGGTAGGGCACAATCACTCTGTGGTAGGGCACAATCACTCTGTGGTAGGGAACAGTCACTCTCTGGTAGGGAACAGTCACTCTCTGTGGTAGGGCACAGTCACTCTCTGTGGTAGGGAACAGTCACTCTCTGTGGTAGGGAACAGTCACTCTCTGTGGTAGGGCACAGTCACTCTGTGGTAGGGCACAATCACTCTGTGGTAGGGCACAATCACTCTCTGGTAGGGCACAGTCACTCTCTGTGGTAGGGCACAGTCACTCTCTGGTAGGGAACAGTCACTCTGTGGTAGGGCACAATCACTCTCTGGTAGGGCACAATCACTCTCTGGTAGGGCACAATCACTCTCTGT